CTGATACGGTAAAGAATACGTTCATAAAAATAAAATGAGCAATCATAACTGCCTAAGTTTAATGTCCAAATAGTTTTTTCAAATTAATCATTATTTTCGTTTGTAGAAGCGACACTGCATCAAGTCATGTCTTCTCATACATCCACTTTACTTTTATTAGTTAAATTATATAATGCAATGGGCACCATAATGACTCAAAACTACAAACAATGACTGATTGTTTGAGAATTTCTGTTTGCCGAAGTAAACTTTCTACGTGACTTTAGTCGGCATACATTATGAAATTGTTTGATGGGGTTGAACCACTCAATTCAAAAAAAATTCCTCCAGCATGCGGAATACAATCGCAAGGATGGATTAGTCCTTCGGTTGATACCTTATTTTAAGGGCTTCCTCAGAGTTGTGTGATAATGGCCCAGTGGAATTAGCTGAGGATTATTTGCTTCGAAATGAGTACATCCTAGCACATCGGTGGTACAATCAAGAACATTGGGTGATGCGGAGGCAACTTTTAGCTTAAGTATCTTTAAAGCGCAAATGGATCGGCACTAGTAAAATGTTTTTTAAAATTGTTAAAAGCAAAATAGCATAATAGTGGGTAGACACATTACTGACAGAGCAAAGTGTTCCAGCATTTCGATTGCACACCAAGGCGCTTTTGGATGCAACTTCATGGTATATGAAATCTCCATAGACGACGATTTACATCTCCACTGGCCTTTTTTCAAAATTATATCGAAAAATTTCGTTGGAACTTGGTGGAATCGAAAGCTCGTACTTCGTGTAGTGGGACCGTTAAGCCGCCTGATGAGTTTTTTAGAGATGTGAGTGACACGACTGCAGAGAAGCCTGTTGATTTCTCATTTAGCAGCACAACATTAGAATTTCTACATCTTTGACCTGTTTCTTTGGGGAGAAAGATAAAAAATTAGTACAAAGTTTAAATATTCAACAGAAGTAATTAACAAACTTTACCTCACAACGCTACATGCTCAAAATTGTCCTCAAAGGAAGGTTATATCTTATCTTAATAAATTTTCCTTCCACGGATAAATTTCTATTAGTCAGGCAAATGACTACATTCCGCATTAATATGAATGCCAATTCCACCCTCAAATTAACCATATAATCACATCAATCAACACGTAATTCCAATAAACCTGTAATATTCCAGCGAACGATGGTACTTATTGCGATTAAAATGTTAATTTTTATGGTTTATTTTTAGGTACTGTATGAGAGATAGTGGTCGTTGAACTTCGAAATGATACTTGTGATTTGGCGAATCCAGGCCATTCGTGTAATCACTACAGCTAGATCTCGCAAATTAACCCCTGAACTGAGCATTGGTAGTGCAAAAAAGGCCTTACGTTCGTGTTTTCTCGCTTCTAATCGGCAACCTTATTTAGTCACAACCAAACTAATCCCACCACTCAAAGTCCACGCTGGTGGTTTAGTCTCAAGGCGGACAGTGTGCAAAGGTAGATGCATCACCGCTGCTCATTATTATGCAGTCGTGGAATTAGTAACGTTGGCGCATCCTGCAATTACACAGCGGGCATAGCCGTTTGTGTAAGTTGAGGGTAGTCTATGCTGGTAGCTACGAGTTAGCCAATCACTCCACTCCTGAGAGGCTTCACCGAACAGGGGGCGGTTTCCTTTTATGTGAAGGCGAATACGACCACCACCATAATGTCCATTTTGGCTAATCGAAAAGAGTGTCTCTATCCGTGGGTATATAAAGTGCTCTTGATCAATATGCATAGTGTGCATTAGCTCGGAAGACATAAATGTTAGACAGGAAATTTGAATGATATGCTTATCTAAGTTCACTTGTTTAGAATGCACTTTAGGGGCAGAAACAAATGGGATAATGAGGTAATGCATAAATGATCTCATCAGACATGTAAGGTTGACTACCCACGTTGGGCCATACGTGCACTTAGCTGATCGTTTAAAACTTGGGGAAAAGGGATGGCTACCGTATTATGGTCCTTGCACATCTTAGAAATGCAAGGAACAAAAGTACGGAAGCACTGACAATGACGCAAAAATAGCTCAACAAAATCAGTTGTTAAAGAGGTAGTTGAAAATGGGTAAAGTATAGATACAAAACCTTGTTGAAGATATCTTAGGTGAGGTAGAAATCCATCGACCGCATTTTTTAAAACAATTAAAAGCTACCTCCAAGGTACTGATAATTTGTAGCACTTTCAATTCCTTGATCGGACTACACACGTCAAAATGCGACTTATAGAGCATTTAGCAGATCTACCCCAGACCGTAGCTAGTTAAGCCATGAATGATGGCAATTTGTAAAAGTCGTAAAATAATGTTTAATCACGTTTATGTTGAATTGGAAACAGAGCGCCAATATTTAGCTTCAACAAATAACTCCTTACCATTTACACCTATATCGTTGAAAATGTGTTTATTTAATCAAAGACATACCATGGCTTGAAGATATGAACTAAAAATGTCTAGTCATCCAGATAAAGTGCAATTGTGTGCACTCTTTGGCCCACAATTGAAAAGTAGTTACATCTGTTTGATGTTAGGCCAGAAAATCGGGTTTTCTAGGCAAACAGGACTCACTGAAATGTTGCTTCTGGTGCAGTGATGTCACCAATAGTGGTCAAAGTCAAAGTAGCCCAGTAGAACGATTGGAGGTATTTCCTCAGCAGCGATTGTAACTCCGGCGTTGTTGGTGCTGGGTAGCCCCAAGAATCTTGAAAATGAGTACTCTCCGACAAAATGTAATATATAGATGCAAACCAATGGCAACCGAGGAATAGTATATGAGTCAAAGTCAATACACGCCAAGTATTTGGAAAAGTGGTACGATTTTCAACCATTATTTTCCAATGCCATGCACGAAAACACTTTAGAAATCGAGGGAACCTCAAAAGTGGTTGAATACCCGTAACTAATTGGAAGAGGTCAAAAGGCAAGAGGGCAAGACTATCAAAAGCAAACTTCCGCGACCAGAGATAACGTGTCGCTATTTTCCGAGCATCCCTTACCACCAGACCCTTTTCCAAGTAGCTAGTTCGGAATTGGACCATGATATCGGCCAAGTAGATGAGATCTGCCACACCATCAAGCCCTATCCAAAGTGCTGTCTTGTCCTTCTGGACCTCGTGGAAGGCCTGACGCATTATTGCTGTCCAGAGGTTATACACTGTAGCCATAGCTACTATTCCCAACCAAACAAACATGAAGCGACCTTGTGGGTTGCAGATAAAGTGAGTGCTTCTAAAGCGCTCAAATAGCTTGCTATTTTCTGAAGGATTTTCGTAACAGCTATCGCATGATTTCGGAAACTGTGTGCGTTTAGGCGAACAAAAATTGAAATTTCGCAAACTGTAGAGACATCGTGCCTTGAAACTGGGCGCTGACAGCCGTAGTTTGGGTGGAGCGTTCTCCTCAAGCCCACCCCACTCCTCCAGTTGAATCGAGATATTTTGGGTGGAGGCACTGGACTGTTGTTTAGTACAGGTCCCTGTGCTATGGTGAGGTCTGTTGCGCACCGCATGCGCCATTTGAACTTCGAATTCCTTATGGCGTGTGCTCTGAGTCAGGAGAGTGAAAGAAGGAAGTGGATCTCCGTCTTGAGTTGCTTCTCCATTCTTTATTATTGGTTGCTGCTTAGATAACTTATTAAATCCTTCAAAGTAGAACGTATCTTCGTTTTGAGTTTTCTGATTGAACTGATCGGAACGTGGGTTACTGTTTTGCTGCTGACAATAAGGAGTTAGGGAGGAACGTTTTTGAGTAGAAAAGTAGTCTAAGAAGGCATCGTTACTCGCAAAAGTATCCTTCTCTCTCCGTCCTGGGGACAATGCATTTGATGTGATTAAGAGTACATTCCTCAACTTTCGCCATGGTCTTGAAGCAGGCATTGAAAGTCGTTCCTGACTCGGGCGTTGGCGACTCTGAGTAGCACTAGAGCCCTCCTCGGGGAGGTCCGATTTAGGTCGGTTGGACAAGTAGGCAGGAGGGTAGGAACCATCATTTCGATTCATTTCAAATGCAGTGGACATTCGATGCCCCCGGTTAAACGAATGCGACACTGACCTCGGAAGGATTTCACTATATTTACGCAATCTGGTGTTGTCCGAATGCCGTTTGGATGAGTTATCCCTGTGCATTTTTGTTCTCCTTAACCACAAAAACCAATAAATGAAACATCCAAGACGCCTAAATGTCTCGTTCGCGCTTATAAGAGACACTGTGTGCAAACGTTCATGTCGCCGATCTGCTAAGCCCAACAGTCATAGGTGGGCTCAACCACGAAGTGGATGCCTCGGATTGGTGGAGACGCCCGCATGGTTTTGCAGTAATAAATCCAGGCCTGACATCTCAGTCTAAACCACATTCGATCCAGACATCGTATTGAATGCTCACATTATCTATATTTTGCTTACTATTTTGACACTTCCATACTCTGATGGAACGTTTGTATTTACCTTACTGTTTCATTTGCCGTAATTCAGGCCTTTCATTCAATTTGAATAAATACATTGTCTCTGGGAATGCAGGTATTATTAATCAATCCAATACCCACTTATTATTTATTAAACAAGCTTATCTGAAATCCAAGTTGGAAGGGCCCGGCATGTATTTGACAAGGGGAAAGGTGGCGCAACTCTTGTTTAATATTCGGGGCATTTAGTTTTATTTCGATATTTCGGAACAACATTTTGACTGAAATTTAATCAATCAATTTATATTTCCGTTTGTAAATAAACTAGTCAGTAAAGATGCGGGGTCCTTTGCGCTATACCGCTGTACTATACGAAGGAATGGAGGTTTTACTCCCATATTTTTCACTACTTTGTGGAGGTTTCCATTTTATTAAATGTGTTTTTTAACTCTATCTGCGGTTTCTTCTGCTAATAATTCCTCGCTTAATTGGTTTTCTTACCATTCTATAATTCTCATAGATTTAAATTGGGGCTGAATACGGTCTCACACACCTTGGAACCAAGGCCACTCTACGGACTAAGTAAATGCCTCTACATACAGCTGGATTAGAGACTAACGTCAAAAATTATGGCCAACACAAACACCCTGCCCAATAGCCAGCGGATTAGTGTTGATGAAGTAAACATCAATGGGAAATTTTTGACAGCAAATCTAGCTGTTTGTTTGTGCTTTATGTGTCATTGTTGCAGGAGTAATCTTAGACCTAACCGAAATATCATTAAGCAGCTAATTTTACATATTCAAATGACACTCGACTGATATCTAAGGCATAAATCATATTCTGTATAAGTATATAATTCTGCAGCAAACTGAATGGTATTAGTAATCCCAGAAAGAGCATAAGGTACTAGATCTGCTATCGGAATGTTGGTTCTGCCAGAAAAGACTCTGAGGAAGTAGTATCAATATGTTATAAACCCGCCACCTAAAAAAACTAAAATATCGATGGTAAATAAGCAAGTGGCATCTTTTTTGAATACTCACTTTGTGGATGACCGCTTGAATCAAGAGGTCGATTTTATTACCCTAACTAGATAATTTCGTTTTGAAATATCTTATTCGCGCACCTTCATGACCATCCTTGGGCAATTTCAAATTCCTTCTGCTTGCCTTAATTTATCCTTCGTTCTCTATAAATTGCTTCCCGTACCCAAATAAATCGGCTGATGCAAACGTCCCACGGATAGCAATCTGTTTGTTTATTGCTTTTTGCTTACCGCATTGCCTTTTGTGTTCGCTCCATTAACCCAGCCATATGTGAGTAAATCTTTGTAATCGCTAAGCACTATTTACTTATCCCTCGGAATACAGGGCGATCAGTGTTAATAATGTAGGCTGATTCATAAGAACCTTTTACTTTAACATTTTACAGTTCGCTTCTCCGGTGCCTATATTCAAGGCTTTCATTTTATCTTTGATGTGGATAAGTATGTGATCGTAGTGAGTGATCATAATATGTAAGGTATTGCTGTCCTTCTGAAACTAAGAAGCGCGGACTTTGTGGTCAATTGGTTAATCTGCTTCCTTCTCACTCGTCACCGCATTTCAGCGGAACTCACTGGTCAATGTAATAAAGCCTACACATTAGCAACGGTGAACAGGAATGATCTACTGAGGCGTCTTAGAAAAGGCTAATGAGATGCCCAAGATGCATTTCTTTCTTACTCAGTTCTCACTTCATGCTCACCCGTAGCAACCCATCGTTTTCACAGTGGGAAAGAAGTGCATTTTTTGGCTAAAAAGTCAAAGGCTTCCTAATCAAAAATAAAAAGTCGTAATTTTTACAACGAATTCGACGAGCTTTATTCTACACTATGACTCTAAAACCCCAATGCATTAGAACACCAGAGAGGAAAAGTCATTTTTATTCGCAACCGCACATATAGACCAACTAAGGGGTCTTGTTATGTGAGCTTCTTAAAGTAGTTTGTCCAAAGCCAGGAATGATTCTACAATCCAATTGGGTCGTAAGGCAGGATTGCATAAAATGCGCTATCTATAAGTAAGGTCATTCATTACAACAGTGAGAGTGAACTTTGGCCATTAAATATTCTTGTATTACACCACTGATCAAAGTCCACAACCTCATCCAAACAGTCATTTGAAAGCAAGATCACTGCCTAATATACTAAGGAAATACTTACTCCAACCTTTGAATCCACACAATAACGCAATGCCTACCAACGTGATGGTTGCCCACTGACATAAAAATTAGGAAATGAGCTTAAAAATCTACATCACAACACACCAATTGGTTACCGTTAGATGCCCTTTTGCGCCTAATAATGGCAAATAAATCATTCATCAGTCTTTATTTAACTACTATCAGACTTTTCAATTTACAACTATGCTTGTACAATATGGGTAAAGAACAGGCAAGACCATTTCTTTCTATTTCGCATTGAAACCAGATCGGACTCAATACCATCGCTGCCGTTAACACTGAGGGCGGTGGAGTGGCTCATTCCATCTAGCTTGGTCATCAACTTCAACAGGGGCATTGCAAATGAAGTTTGCGTATTGTAATTGTAACCTACGGGTATTATTTCTACTTAACTCGCCTTATCGTGATGATCTGTACCTTACAAACACTCTCTTGGAGTTACTCTCATCCAAGCAATTTTGCTTTGAATTACTTCCGAAGTTAATTTTCCCGTAACCCAAAACATTGAATGAGAGCTTGTCTCCATACTTTCAATGGGCGAAAGTCATTAGGCAAGGTTGTTTTTTAGAGTATTTTGTATGTCTGATGCCCATGTCTTCACTGATGAAAACCTAATTGACGCCTTTTAAGCTTTGAACACTATTTTTTGATTTACCTTATTGTGACGCAGCAAATATTGCATGTCCTTATTCTGTCTTCGTGCAAATTTTCAGGCCTGATTATCACGTCGACTACTCAGTTCATCCTTTTGTACACTTTAGATAATATTTGATTTTAGACGGTTGGCTAGCCCCAGTACTACATGAAGCAACGTCAATACTTGAAAAGAACAGTATAAAAACCCGTGTCTACTTCGGAAAAAAGTAAAATATCACAATTATTGTTGTCACTGCTACACTGTTATTCCGGAATGAATTTCCAAATCCCCTTTGAGTCTCCCAAAGCATCTTAAAGGATATGCTAGGTTTCCCATTTACGTATATTACCTTTTTTACTTCCATCTCCTTTTTATGAATGCAAACGTCATTTATTTGTTTTCTAAATGTTTAGATTTCTATCCTCAAGCATGGCAGGTTGCGGCAGCCGAAAAAATGACACCAAATCAAATGCTGACATCGCTTGGTAAAAATGCTCTTAAGATGATGAATTGCGGCACCTACTATTTTGATTAACAGACTTGGTAAGTAGGATATCCTATTTTATGGGTATCTATACTGCCACTTCAATTTCGCATCCATCACAACAGGTTCTGTAAGTACTAAACACCGACTGTCATCTTGTGGAAAATAAAGAATTTTTGGTGTGTCGGTTGGTGGTGTTGCTTATCAATGAAGGCCAATAATTTACCTCTATTCCTGAGTTTATGCCGACAACTTTCCAGGATAATTGGTAAATAAGACTGACATTACCCTCTCTAGCTCATTGACGTCGCCATAACCGCGCATGCCTCAGGGGGCTCAACACTAATGAAATGAAAAGATTTGTGGCGGTTTTGGAAAAATAGCTTATTTACACGGCTTCCAATTACGCGGCAGATGAGAATTTCGGAGAGGTAAAATGCCTATGGCCTCATCTAAATACTAAGTTTATTAAATAGTTTAGTTTCTCAGTTTAACCCCTTCCCGACCAGTGGTATATTAATGGGTTTCAATTATCGCATTTGTTTGGTGCACTTCCATGGTGCAAGTGGAACTGGTGCAACGAGAATCGGTCTACTATTGCCGGTATGTGTTTACTTACTTCGAATCTAAAATGATTCTCGTCTAGCTTTATACTTTTCCTTCCACTCAATAAAAAAGCCTTTATTAGAATCCCATCCTCGAATGTTACAAGAAAAAATTGGGCGATGTTTGCGTCGCTGCATTTATGTAAATCGGGCAGATGAAAGCCACACTTTCCGAGTTAGCGCTGGGGCGCCTTGTTTCATCCTTAATAATTGGAGTGGCAACTGTGAACACAGGCATTCACCAAGACAGATCTCACACCACTAACAAAGATAGTTCTCTCAGTTGCACCCAAGTGATGTACGTTAAATGCGCGTTGAAAATGATGGCGTTGCCGGCAGACATCTACGTCCGAGGTTGAGTTAAGGTGGACGAGGTTGAATTAAAAAACCGGAAGAATTGCCTACAGCTGTCCATCTGTACATTCTTGCACTGAAATGCAAACCGTAGCAAAGGAAATCGCGCTCATTGTCTTATATGATTTTCACTGTAATTTCAATCTCTAGTGCTGGATGTAATGGAACATTTAATAGTATACCAATTACTCGAAACTCATGCCAATAGTGCTCTACGACTTTTTACTACTGACCTAACTATCGTTTTCAGTAAAGAGGGAATATTACTGAACCTTGCAGTGCGCCTCTTTCTACTCTGTAAGTCACTGACTCGATTAGTTCATGGTTGGTTGCGCTAAAATGTATTGAGCAGTTTGACAGCTTGCCACTGCATTTCCTGGCTAAAATGGGGAAGATTGACGCCCGACGGCACAGACAGGCACACTTTTAAGCATTCATTTGAGTGTAGTGTAGATTTCGTTAGAATAGTTTTTAAGATAAATGGACATTTTAAGTTTTTTTTTGATGACACTACTTTGTGTCATACTTATCGCCGACTATCAGCGTATATTCACGTCACTAAATTAATTGCCTTTCCGTGATTCGTTTCATTGACACCTTGTAAATGACGGAAAAATACAGATTTGGCTGATTTTAGTAGCAGTCTAATGACAGTGGGTGGTAGCCAATAGGTAATCTTATTCGAAGTGATGCTGCTATCTAAGCTATCAAGATTGTGCATTTGCTGCAGCTTTATGCTGCTCCATCTACTAACGGGCGCTTGAAAACTTTAATGCAAATAGGAGACGCCAGTTGTTTTAGTATAATTGTTTACCACAACTTCAGGCACCGCAGCTTGTTGTTTAAGCATTTGGTACTCTCCTTATCTAACTTTATGTGAGGTGTTCTCCCAATTTGACAGAATTGATTGACGTGGTCAGATTCTTCTTAGACGGAACGAGAAACCCAACTCATGCACTTATCTGAGGTGGCCACCTGTTAAGAGATCATCCTGAACAAACTCAATAAGTGTTCAAAACTTTTGAGGAAAATTTCGTTTGTTGACTATGCTACTTCTGATGTCTTGTCTTGGGTACTCGCACGTCGGACGCATATTTCCTTGCGAACTTTCATCCATTCGATGTAATTATTGTAGTTTCATCTGTAGACAACTTAAAATTCCTCTATCCTTTGACAGGAGTTAATTACCAGCGCCAAGAGCACTGTAATTCTTATGTTATTTTAAGGTTTCTTTCAGAGAGGAGGTGAGAATACGAATTAAACCTCTTAACTGAGGAGTCAACATTCTGCAACCCATGGAAAGGTTTCATGTCCACGCCTCCCCGGACTTGTGCTTGGTCTTCCTATTTACTTATCTTAATAAACATGATGAAACCGAATCGGCCTGGGTGTACTAAGAGTATGAGGGTCAGGGAAGAGAAGACCTACGAAATTCGCCCCACAGTACCATGTTCACTAATTTCACCATGGCTAAATGGCTTTACGTGTGCAAGAGACCAGTTACGTCCTATAGGCCTCACTTTTACGTTTTATAAACTTATTCTCATTCTAAAATCGATTGTGCAAAGCCTGGCTAAAGAAAAACTAGTCTGTTAATAATTAATCTACCACTGGTCTGATTTGATTGACAGCACTTAAAATATGGAGTTCGTGACACAGAACTATTATATCTTCAACGTACATAACTGATTTTTCGCACTGATTACCACACAATGATAATTTTCAGTCAACAAAAATTTCGGAATATAAGTAGACTAGCAATTTACCGATTTGAAGGAATTTTTTAATGACTTCTTAGCCAGTTTTAACATGGGTGATCCCTTTATGCTGCTCGTACTTTTTATGTGTTTATACCAAATAGCACTGTAGCTTTACGAGATGCCACTCTCGTAACCATTTACTTTGGTTCGGAAGTTGCTAGCGCAGCAAACCCCTCTGTCTGGGAACCGAATAGATAGCCTCTGTCTTGTGGAGCTTCCACTGCACTATTTTAGTCAAATGATAGTTTACAAAGGCCACTGGAAATTCGTGAGTTTGTTTTTTAGGCAAGAGCACTTATTTTTAATTAACAAGTCTAGGTCATTAGCATTTAAGATGTATGGAAGCTTTTTCGAGTCAACCATAAGTTCTATTATTATTATTACTTAGAACGGGCACTGACGAACAAAGCACTTACAAGGAAGTTTGGACCATGACTTGCATACCACGTGTTGCTCTCTTTAGACGGTACCCACGACGGTATTGAGGCGGGATGCATTCGATAGGTCCAAAGTGGCAGTAAGAAGCCTTTGTTTTGAGTAGTATCTATCTGGACTTTAATTTCTCTTACCCTTTGCTAAAAATGGTGCATTTGAGCCACATGACTTAATTGCTTACCGCGCTCACAGGCAGGCCATGGTGTGACCACGTGCTCCCATGTGAGTGTCCCTTTTAATAGGCCTTCTCAAAAAGTCGGTTTAATCCATTTGTTTTGGCATTGCCTCTATCATTTCCATCACCGAAATACTGACTCATTGCATAGTCGTTTCTAACTGCTTCGAATCTTTGAATCTTCATTGCAAATCCTTCAATACAAATTGCACGCATTCAGCAAATAGGGAGATCCCACACAATTGCAAATTATTACCAATTAAGCTACAGCTAATTTTTCTGCAAAATTATTTATCGGTAAGACTAACAAATCCACTGGGCGAATTCATGTGATCAAAATGCATGCCATCTTCAAAGATTGTAGGCCAAGCCTCTCAGGGCCATTAATAACACCATGGAATTTGTTTGATCGCGTAATGGGGTGAAAGAAAACGATAGTTGTTGCAGTTAAAGCATATCATGAATAACCCACAATCATCATTTCTGAAATTGAGGAGGCAGATATTCTGATAGTTTAGTACCCAATGAAAGGTGCACTGATGCCAAGTTGTGTAATTAAAATGATAATAAACTGGGGTAGATGTGACACCGTGATAGGAGTGAAGATGTAGCTCAAAAGACCTGACAGATGTTAATCGAGATTAACTGGCAGCACAGTACTACAAATCAGACCTGCTGTAATAGCTTTGTCTGCTGCGGATAATTTGTTTTTTTTTTGACTTTATCATTGTACGTGGCTACAACTCTCGCTAAAGCACTGGGCGATGTCAGTGGGGCTCTCTTCCGCAATGATTTAGTAAGTGTCGATATCTTGTTTTATTTTATTAGCTCGACCTCGCAGTCTGATTCGTTAATAGCATTTTAAACGATTTTCCACAAAATTACCGTTAGCGAGTGCTACGTCAGATGGAGTCATTATTAACGTAATCTACTACTTAACTTTGCTAGTACCTGTTTAGGATCAAAAGGTTCATCGCCAAAGGTGGTACTTGAAAATGAAATACGTTATTCCCCTCTATGATAATAATAACAATAATTCATTCTTTTGGCTTAATTAATCTTCTCATTTAGCGGATAATTTTCTCACCAAAATTCAGGATTGACCGAAGAAAATTTGCCATATGATTAGGTGGAGAAACTGACCAGACCCATTTTATCGATGAAATGAGTTGCGTAAAAGGGATTGACTGTGCTTCTTTAGCTACTGGATTTCATATCATGGACAAGGTTCAATGATTTAATCACTCGTTTGCTCTTTCGTTATAGCAATTGAACATGGGACCCGGAATCACATTAAACATTTTCAATCCTAAGGTCGACTACCCATATGTTGGTGGCAATTACACATTTCTCAAATCCAACCGTCACTCCCCTCTTATACTATATGTGGGAGAATAACGTAATAATTTGATATAATTAGCTCTCTTTTTATCGTATCTTATCTCTCCACACAATGCTCTACTTCAATGCCTGGAGGCTAGCGTGAGAATCCACAGCGTTCGACTACCAAACACATTGAAATAAGCGCTCTACTTTGCACCTACACACGCAAAACACAAAATGGCCGGCTCAATGATGACCAATTATGATTTGGTTGGTACACTAAAAGCACTTTATGCACCAATGAAAGTGTGCCCAGATGGATGTGTACATGTGCGCCATGCAAGCACACCCTCACGGCCACTTTTCTATTTCACTGCCGTCGCAGCGCCTCCGTCTGTTACCACCGTCTTCATTCAACAACCTCAAGCGGAGCGCCCGTAAGTTCGCTTCCGGATCTACTCAAACGCCAGTCTGCTTTACAGTATGCGAATTTTCGTTCGCTCTCACCCGCCTTGGAAATATCGGTTGTTAGCTAACACTCACTAACCGTCGAGCATACTAATTCGATACTGTCATACACATACCCACTCCACTGTTACGGACTTTCATCACGAAATTCATCTAAACGACTGCGGTATCCCCGTGCATACTTCGTTAGTTTACTAAAGCTAATTTTCAAATCAAACAATTTCTGGCTTACGGACCGTAGGGCAATCAAAAGAACACTTTGAGGCTTTCTCCTGTTATTTATCCCTTTTGACCTAAGTAGCATCTCTAATGTGTTGCAAACTTGCTTTATTCTACGTGATTTATTGGAGGCCCCCAAAACCGATTCATTGGGTAATGTCAAAGTCAGCTGTTGAGAGCCGCTAGTCTACAAGAGATGCATCTTAGTCCGGCTTCGCTGTACCTAAATCTCATTCTTCTTGAGCTCCTTGTGGGGGCTCAAGGACAGCTTAACCTCTGGGCGGATAGAAAACTTGTGGCTCGAATAATAGAATCCATTCCGTCGAACGGCAAAGATTATTCAAGCCTCAAGTGCCCCAGGCAGCGTCCAGATATTACTCAACACAGTAAGTTTCTTTCTTGCTTTGTTGATTTTATGCCCCGTATACATGGTTATTAATGGGTGCTACCACTAGCCCATTACAACTTTGTCCGCTGAAGCGTTCTTAATACCTAAGTAGTCACCACTATATACCGAGTTCGTTACCTCACTTCGCCGAACGATGAATGCTCCGAAGTGTGATATTGAGGAGAAATGTTCGAGAATGTTCAGAAGTAGACTAAATACAAAGCTAGAATGTACCACCTGAAAAGCTGGAAAAAGCCCCTCGGTTGTATTTTTGCTGAGGCACCTAATTACCCACCCAGAGATTCCTGATTGGTAGGACACAGTTACGAGATGATTTCCACCATGACATTTCTTACAAAAACGGGTCTGGAAAGAAAACAAATGTGAATAAACCTCTACACGCTTTAGATTTGGGCTTCACCACTAAAAAGCCTCCTTACATTATATTCACACCGACTTGACCTCTCTCAGAATGGTGCTACTCCTTCAATATCCTTTTGATTAAGTAATTTCGGGGTGGGTTTGTTTTTCGTAATTGTGAAAGTTGGCCTACATTAGATTATTCCACTGTATAAATGCAAGTCGTTGCAATGGTGTAACTGATTTTGCTCCGGCCCATCCGACCGCCAGATGGCAAAATATCCAAAACATATTTGACCCAACTAATCAGCGCATAATTTTCGTGACCGTGATTTTTTAGTACCTCCACAACTCTTCCTCGTGCTGAATGGACACATTCTACAGGAGGTATACGACAAAATTCTCCACAGTGTTCATCGACCGCTTCCACCACAAATCGAGATTATTCGACTTAAGTGGCGCGCCGGTCTTGAAAGGGTAAGTTTTGACGCGCAAACACGGGAGGCGAACTAACGCCAAGTTACTACATGGAACCGGAAGTAAACAAAGCAACATCTCATTCGACCGCGCATTATTTTTTGTTTTCCTTCCTCTTCCCAGTGACCGATTTTCATGACCCTAATGGTACAGGTCCAAAATCTTCTCTGGAGCTCCTTGAGACTGTATAAAAGCAAAGGGTTTGAATAACTGCAATTAATGCTGGATTGTGCGTAAGACTTAAAACCGCCCATTGAAGTGAATTTTATCTTCCTCCGAGAAATTTCATACACAAAATAGGCGAACATTTACGAAACGAGACGACTTGGGGATTGCTGATAAAACTTGGGGAGTCAAATCAACGGGAGACAAATCATAAATGGAGTCACCTTTCATGCTTTCACCTTAAATGTAACAGTCCGGTCAGTTTGAATCATAGGAATAAAAAGCCAACCTCAAGTCCACTTGGGAGTACTTAAAACCCTACCAATTCATTTTACTTATTTTACGTGCCTAATGTTTGTAATTGGCGAATTTTAGTTATGTGTAGAAGGCAGCTTTTCGAGCATTTATTTACCCAAGAGAGAACAAAGGCGTATTCAATCGGTTAAAACAACAGGAATCTTCTGGGAGATCCCTAAACAAAAATCGGGTTTTAGTAAATGCACCCAATTTCTATAATTCGCTTTCTTTTATTTATTGCTAGCGTAATGGTCCAACATTCTCATCTTTATTTAATTTCAGTTGACTTACAACATCTCTATGGTCTCCCTGAACAAGACCCTTCTATTTGATCCCCTTCTGAACGTGGCTAGTTATGGAATAATCCCCGCCATGGAATCAGGTAAAGTGGTTTATTAAATGGGTCACTACTTAATCGCTGCAAAAGGTTCCCTCACATCACGCACGTGAGGGGCCAACGGTCAATTTCCCTAAACCGACAAAATTAAGCTAGCTATCGTTAAGTAGCTCAATTCGTTCTTCCGACCTTTCAAGCACAGTTCTTGCCTCATCTTCGATAGCCAATACAGTTTTGCCGCCATCCATCCAGTCATGTGAGGCTAAATTTCTAAAATTAATCTTAGATGTACAAATCACACTCGCGTGTACGGGTAAAGTGACAGGATTCGCTGCTTTCAAACTGCATTTGGACATTCGCCGCGAATTTGAAGGCCTACGAAAGATTCCTCGCATCGATTTTGTGGCTCAGAAGTACTGTCTTAGTAAACGTAAGTTCTTCCGAGTAAAGCTCCTCCAGAATCCAACTGGGCCACAGGCTGGCCCCCAGGAATAACTCTACTAGCCTCCCCAAAAATTAAACCATTCCCTAACACTCAAATGCTTCGTAGGACGGTGGTGGTGCTAATTCCCCTCCTTTATTGATAACAACATACAGTTTCATATCTGCATTCTTCCCTTAGAGAGATTCAAGAGATTTCACATAAAGTGCGACTGCCGCGCCCAGTGCCAGAAGCTCTTCCCACCCGTGTACTTTGGCAAAGCCTACAGGAAGAAGTGCAACCAGCGATGCCGACGCGACCTGAGCTCAAAGAGAGGCACCAGCCGATACAACTACTACACCCACCAGAATCAGCAACAACACATCAACTGAGCCTTAACAGTGGAGCCTCCGCAAGCGTTCCCAATGTACAGTACGCACTGCCGGAAGTCAGATTTACCAACGTGTAAAAAGACGAGCTTATACGCCAGATTGCAAAAGCAAAAGATAACACGCTGGGATCCTACACCCACTTTTGTAAAACCCTGAATAAGCAACTCGATCCATCCATCTAATAGCTAGGTGCTACGCCTAACACTACTAACGACTGCCGCTTAGAGGCTACTGATCCGACCCCGGCAGTCGACAGTCCCATGCATCAAACCAATTCGCCCAAATGGGGAATTACCACCCACTCTCCAGAAAGAGCACTCAAAGTTAAAGCATAAAACTCGACTCCTACCATTTAAAATCAGCCTACTACAGAAAGCCATCAACTAGACAACCTAGACAGGCAGCATACGTTAGACCCCACAGCGGGTGCGACACAGGCCAACAAGAACGATGGACAGGTATTGATGCGTTAGGCAAAGGAGCCAGTAATAAAGTGTCGAATGATTCCGACTTGCATAGCCATTAGAACTTATAGTGATTCACAACAGCGCCCGAACAGTTGGCTAAAAATTATGAAGAGGAAATACAAAGAACCCATTTATTCCACCAAAACCTAACGGTATGATTTCTGGTAGCGGGCGCGTGCGCCAGGACCACCGAACTTCTTTGGCTCGCAGTGACGAGGATCAGCGACTACCAGAGTCTTATCAAACTCTGCAAGAGTATCCTTAAGAGCCTTGCGAGAGAACTCATCAACAAATTTCTGATGATAAGCGATAACAGCTTTGGCAAGAGCCTGGCGAATCGCATACACCTGTGCTACGCGGCCGCCGCCACTAACCCGAATTCTAATATCCAAGTGTTCAAATCTGTCCTGCCCGATAAGCATGATAGGTTCCATAACCTTGGGAAGTAGGGGCTCCGGCTGAAGCAACGCTAGAGGGCGACCGTTCACACGAATCACTCCATTTCCTGCCTTACACAAAGCCACGGCAGTAGCAGACTTCTAAAAGTGGTGCTATTCAAAATCCAAGAACCCACCTTCCGACCAAAGACCTGAACATATTCCCTACGTGCACTCATAATGGTGCTCCGTGCAAAGACACCCAGAAGTGCGCGGCCCGACTCGTTTAAACAAAAAATAAATACAAAGTATTTTCCTGAATAAGAAGATATTCTGCCAGTCCTACCACTAAAAGAATAAGTAACAGGAATAAATCCTCTATAATTGGTTACGCACTCATAATTGTTGATGGTCTTCCTAAGAATCATCAAATTTACCTTCTAAAGTGCCGTTTCGTGCATTTTACTACTCATCTGCATTGATTCCACTTTTTTCAGTTACAGAACCTTGTAATACGCATCAAATTATCACTTGGTAATAAACGACTACTACTATGAACCTGCACATCTGCTTGAAATTTTCCTATTTAATTGTATCTTCCTCATGATTACTTCATCCTGACGGTACCTTTAGGGGGCGCAAAAGTAACCCAACCCCCCGAGTCACAGTATAATTGGAAGACCTTCCGCGCAACTCTGCAGGAATTGCATGTTCGCTAAGTCCACACCTACCCGACCCACCCGCCAGCCTCATGTACACACCCCGGAGGGGGGGGACCTTGAGCCCCCCAGAGCAAACTGCAGTCACACAAACCACAACCCGCACGGCACCATAGCACCCCGGTATTCCAATGTCGTCTACGATGTCAAACTAAAAACAAGGACCTCAACTTTACATCCGACGGACAAGTACTCCACTCGAGAGAAAAGTCCGCGCACCACCCACCTGAACAAGAACGTTGCATGTAAGCCACCAGTTTGAAAGAATGTCCCAGGTAATGGAAAAAGTAAAACAGATAGATTGCAGAAAAGCTGGAAGGCTACTTTTCAATCTTCAAAAACATCACGCGAAATGATTTCCCAATCCATTAACGTGAGCTCCGATGCATCACCGTTAACGTCGTGCTTGACATGGTTTCCGATTGCCGCCTCCTGGGTAGCAGGCGCACCGGGTCGAGCACGACCCTCATTAGCACGACGAATCAGAACTGTTGAGGGATTAAATTGGCCTTTCAGGGATCGAGGACAGAGGGCAAGCTCGTATCCAATTGATGAAAATATATCGTCTTGGAGAAGGTAGTAGGGTCCATCGAATAACCTTTGAAAATGAAAAAAAAAATCACTCGCTCCTAGAAAACATAGATTATGCCTATCGTTATTTATTCTGGAATTCCGTCTGCATCTAAATGGAAGTCTCCTGTTGCTTTATGTTTGAGTTGTATGTTTCAAATGTCAATTATTGAAATTAAACTAAGGTTCGACATCAAAAGAACCCCATCTTGGTCATATTAGTGAATTGCCACCAGAAATTTTGGAATATATTATATATTTATTGTGGGTGTTTCATAACAAAAAAGTGTTACTCTTGCAGCGGCGTATTAGAGTATTCTAACCATATTGTTACTGTAATACAAGGTTAAACTATTACAAGGTGAATGGCTAGAATTCCCAATGAAACTGAAGTTAATTGCATTAATTTCAATGTATTTTGACAGATTTGGGCGGAAAATATGGACATACTGCGATTTCATGAGATCGTGTTGGAAGGCCTCGGCGAGGAGGTGAAGCGTGAGGAGAGGCCTATTTTGCTCCCGGAGTTCCTTAGTCGATAGAGCCACCTGCAAATTCAGCGGGTCCGAGGAGGGGGAGAGGGTGATGTGGACGCTCACCTCGCAGATAAGTTGAATGACTTGACCCACTATGCGGTACACGTGGGTGACGCTATCTCGGAGGGGGGAGTCATTATCGAAGATATTGAGACGAAACAGACGCTGCGTATCAAGCGGAGTCCAGATATCAAGGATTTGAGCCATTGTACGTTGGGCCAAAAGCATATGCGTTAAGGCAGCATGACTAGAGATGGTTGGCTCGGGAACTGTGGCAGATTATAAAACCACCTAAACAAGCTTAAAGGCATTCTGCTACTAAAGAGCGTCAGAAAAGCTAACAACTTCTGCATTATGTGGAAGATAAATTCCTATTCTCCCAAAAACATAGTCGCCTACCAAAAATGTTAGCATATTACTAAAGTTAGATTTCGCTACCAATATTTATTGCCAATAACGCTAAGATACCAACATCTGCATTTTTAGAAACATGCCTCCTTCTAAATAAAGAATGTTGTCAAAAGTGGGATAAATACTCCCACAATAAACTTAAGAAATTCATAGGCAATAAATGTTCTTTGTCCCTAGTCTGTTGGTATTTATAATGGTAATGAGTTATAATTACCACGAATCTGGCAGTCACAGACGAAAAAGAAGACGGAAAAGTCCGTCAGTATTGCCCAATCATTCAGTTGAAATGTATGGTTAGTTACAAAAAATGCAGTTTTACCTGAGAGAAGCCGACTGTCCATGTTCAATGGAGTTCCGAATATTTTATCCAGATCAGTGGGAGAAGTCTGAATAAAGTTCAAATAAAGGGGAGAGAAGAAAAACAAAAGTATGATTGATAACAAAAAGGAGTACCGCGATCTTGAGAGGCAGAAAGCGTTGAAAAAGCTCTCGGATACTTTCCTTTCGGAGCTTATAGAGATGGGCACTGATCTTGGTAAATGTAGAAAACGTCGACTCAACCACTTTGTCGACATACTTCATATGCGCCTGTAGACGTGAAAAATTCTGGCCTAATTCCCGTTTGGTGTCACGACAAGCGCGTATTTTTGCCCGAAGTGTGGACAGTTTGCACCGCTCTAGAAAGATTAGAGAACGAGTAAGACGTACTTTCGGAAATGAAGTTCCTCAAGAGCCGAATAGCCTCTTGAACAGTTCGTATCTCCTCTTTTAGTGCAAATAGCTGCACAATATAACGGAGAAAAACGACTTACACTATCATGCCCATTCAAACTTGACTTCAAATTAGACAGCTCGAGCACTCTATGCAAATTGATCAATATCAATTAAATCTACTTTGACGAAAGCTCAGACAATATCCGGTTATTCAACTTAATTTGACAAGCCAAGGCTACATAGCTGCAAAATAAGCATGTTTATAAAGAAAACCTCATGGATCCATCGGATTTAGAAGAATAAATTTCACCACCTTTCACGCATTGACTACAAAACAGATATCGGTAGCATGAGTCGCAAATTGGACAAATTGGTCTTAAATAAAAAGTTGGACCAGTATATCTAGTTTGCGTGAAATCACTCCCACTGAACTGTGAAAAACCAAGGTACTGGAAGTCCTCCATAACCACGCAGATTAATTGCAGTCTCCCAAAAACAATCCAGCCAATAGAAAACAAGTTTTCAACAGTGAGCCAAATAGAATGCACTATGGTCAACAATGACCGTACACAAAAGCCATTTTGATTCGTACAAGATTGAATGCTATTTACAGGCAAGAATAACACAAATGCCACGAGTGACTCGACCAAAGAAGAATATTAGCCAACACTGAACACTATCGTGTCAGTTAAAATACATGAGAATTACAAGTCCTAAACACTGGCGTGATATTAAATTGCATCCTGATTTGGCCTAGATACACTACAATTCAAAATACGATTTGTCGTTCATTCAAACCGAATTGCCGTCAATATTGTACCATGGTAACATGTAGAAGTTCCATTAACGTGTACACCTTTTTTGTCACATCCGAATGGAACTACCTTCATTCTCGTTGCTGCTGGATGGCAACCACTGCAACTTTAGGCTCCTTTATATAGTCCTGTGAGAGCTAGAGAAGCCGCTTCGTCCACGAAAAAGGCGCTAATTTACAAGCTGATATTCAATTTCCACAGCTTTACCAGTTTTTGACCTCCCAGTAATTCTGGCTAGTCTCTTTTTGTTACCCAATCATTGTTAAAGTTTCCACATGGATATATCCAGTAGTGACCAATGATGGTCAGGAGTTTCTTTTTTGGCGAAGGTCGACTGCGCCTCATTTGTAGCCCAACTCACCGCATAAGCTGTAATGTCTTTGGCGTTTATCAAAAGGGCCTTCAGCCTCAAGAAGAATGTTGATGAGCATCATATTGAGGACTTTTTAAGGTGGCATCATATAGAAGGATTTTGCAACGCTACGTAAGAGTTTTTCCACTCATCTCTTTGTTCAGGCAACTGTCAAAAATTTTCCGTAAGAATGCTCTGCGACTTATAGTCGTTAGGAAATCGAATGAGTCGGTTATTTTCGACTCTTCTTTAAATAAAGTTATAGCAATTTTCTTATTTACTTTTCTAGAACCAACCCCGATTGCCCATTTTTGACAGTGGAGACGATAAAGTGTCTCTCGCTGAGATTGCTTTTGGTTCCTTTTCTTTAACTCATCAAAAAGATTTAACATCTTCTATTAAACTGCATGACCTCAGGTAATTTTTGCCACTTTCTAATCTTCCTCTAGATTTAGTCGCCATGTTCTGCTTACGTATGTGTACTATCCTTCGACAAGACGCGTTCGTACATCAATTCCTGCTTCTTATGGTAGAAAGCAGACAGCAAGTGCATCGATTGATATCTGGTCGAACAATGTAATGTAAACCTTGTTCTCCAACTTTTTTAGCTCTCTGTACCCTCCCCTACTGACTTGACTGTGGCGATTTGTGTGCTAATAAATACCGATTGGGCTCATTCCCTCGCCAAGTCTATTTCCAGCGGATTCAACCCTAATTCCAAGCCAACGCTACCGATTGACCTGCTTGAGAGATTTTATGCACTACTTTTTGATCATTTTCTTCAAATTAGCGTGTCATTTCAGGCGCTCTCTGAAGTGGTTGGACATTTGCTTACAACTGGCGCATCTAACCACCCTCAAAAATCAAACCTGAATGAAATTCATGAGAAAATCAACCGAGCATTTATGGATTTTCAGCGCAATTTCCGCGACCTGTGCATTCCCAGGCTTTGTCGCCCTGTCTGGCCCAGTCTTTCACTCGCTTACGCCTCGCAGTCTGACACACCTACTGGATCAAGACGGCTATCTGGTAGAGGATCAAGTCCTTATCAGAGTTTTCCACTGAATATAACACCTCTTCCCACTCACTATGAATCAGTGTCCAATTCCTTTGTTCGTGGGTGTCTGTGCTCATTAATCTCGAGGAACATGTCCAGGGATCGTTGTCAGTGCGTTTTCTTTGACCTTTTTAGCACAAGACTCTACTATTCATTAGTTAACTTTTCTGGTCTTAAGTGAGTTTTTTTTATGGGAAGTCTAAACATAAACCTCGATTAAATATTTTGGGTAGACTAGGTGTGCTTGGCCCCGTGTACATACTGATATGGTTACTATCGTTGATAATTATTTCATTTTTTCCGTTGGTAGAAAATTTTTTTAAATATTGTATTGCTTAGTACGGTTTGACTTTCTACTTTCTGACTGCTGTATTTTGCTGGCACCGCCGAGACAAAATTGATGGTACGATCGGCTCATCGCTGCCGCTACTTTGTTGTAGCTTTTTGGCTCAACTCGTGACTGGTATCCTGATGCAACATCGTGGCTGGATAGCTACAGTGATGCTGAAAATTCAAAATCCTAATGCTGACTCTGAATGGACTGTTTGTGAAGCCGTGAGCATTATTTTCAAGTTGTTCGTCTCTCTGAAAACATCTCGTTTTGACCAATCACCGAATTTTGGATTAAAACGTTATTTTCCTTTTAATCTACGATAAATTTACATGTCCTGTTATTTTTCGCATGCGCTACTATAAATTGTGCTTGTTATGTTTGGCTGATAAGGAAACTATAGAGTTGGTTGTATTTATCGATATATTTCTCTCAGCTGAGTGATGGCTTCGCTCGAGTAATGACAAGTGGAGGCGGAGTGGAGAATTCACTTTTGATTCAGTACCTGGTTCAATCAGGCTGTGACTTGAATCGTCACTCCTGTGAGGACGCCAAAATCCTAAATACCTCCGGTACCGCCTTAGCTACTACGATTCTCTACGGCAACGCTGGTGGAAGTGGACTTCAACAACAACAACATCGGGATCGCCTTCTAGCACTACTCTACTTCACCTCTTACTTCCTCCGACCTCCATACTTCCTTCTCCAGGCACACGAACAGCTACCTGATTTGGGTGTCGCCGATCTCTACGAATTGGAGCAAAGGAAGCGGAAAGTGTGTTGCATGTTGCAATCCTAGTATATTTGTTGCTTTTCCGTCTGAAGAGTTCAGTTCTAGTAAGTATTTTCCGTAATATGCATTTTGTATGCATCTGCAATCCTTCTGATCATAACCTTCAGTCTCGTCACTTATTTTGGTCTGTTTACACGGTGCAGTCTCGCCTTCCGGCTTGGATACTACTTTGAAGGTGTTCAATGAATTTTCCGCAGTCATCGTTAGTACGATTATTTCGTTGTTGACTCAGCTTTATTTTTTGTCCCATTTAATGCTATCTAACCTATCGCCCCGTGATCATGCAATGTGTTGACCATTCATGAAAGAAATGTTTTTGTAGTCTCTACAACGCCCTCACGGCGGCAGCAGCAGCAGTCGACGCAAGTCAAGTAGTCAACTCAGTGCACCTCTGATGATTGGTCAACGTGGTAGGGTGGTGGATATTTACGACTCGGGTATCGCTTCACAGGAGGACCTGAGTGCTGCTGTACTTCAAACTCTACAGCAGTACTCCTCCAGTGCCGGTTCGAGCCCCAATCATCCGCCTGTTGGCGCCTCAGCCATCTGTCTGCCTGGTCGCCTGACGCATGAGCAGTGCCGCATAGCTGAGGCCGCTGCTCAAGCCCTCGTCTCGCGCGAATTTGCCGCTGTTGCTGCTGCTAACGCCACTAAACCACTGCAGCAGCAACAACAACAACAGCACAACCCTTCACAACATCCCTCTCCCACTTCACCCGTGTGCGTTTCTTTGCTTACTTGTCCCCTAAAATGAAGCTTTCCAACCATCCTTTAGTCACAAAGCGCCCAAACTTCCATCTGTTTCCAAATGCATACCAAATGAGCGTTATGGGAACGTAAGAAGGCATGTGAGCTGGTTTAAGTATTTTTAATTGCATTTACCACCTTGCGAGTTGTAGTGCGCTAGCTTCGGAGGCCACGATACTATTCACCTTTGTCATTGGGCTTGTGTAGTGCATCGAATCCCCTCCCCTTCGTTTAAATTCCTTTACGATTTGATCCCATTGTTCAGTATGTGAAATTAAAAGAATTAGTTGAAAAGGCGCTTAAATTTAATTGATTTAAATTATGTGTGTAGGACTTTTTACCTTTTTCTCCATAGTATCTTAATGGGGCAGTCCCGTGCTTATATGTTAATAAGACTTGACCGTAATTTTATCGCAAAGATTGGGTGAACTTACGTTTGAACAGATGTTTTTTTCATTCTCCTGGACTACTGTTATGGAGCTCCCATGAGTCATTTCTTCCTGTGTCCGATTGACCGGTTTGTGTCCATTTAGGTATACCGATGCACCAACGTCTAAACACCGGGAGCATACGTGGACCATGGGCATGGTGGGACGAAATCGAAAAATGATTGCGGGACTGCTTGCTGCTTCATCATCAGTCGGTGAAAGCGGAGGTGGCGATGGTACCGGCAACAACGGGGACATTACTGGCGGCGCCTTCTACTCCTCCATCACACCAAACGTCTCCGCAGGTGTACCCTGTTTCAGTACCTCCATCTCCTCAACATCAAATAATTACAATGACCTCACGGAAATCCCTCTACTTATCGAGTAAGTTCTGATAGCAATTTTCATTTGTAGAGCGCTTGAATTTATCATGGTTAAAGCGAGATTATCTTCAAACTTGTTTTGAATCTAACAGAAAGTGGTATGATTATGAGTGGGACAATTGTTGGTGCCTCGGAGAAGGAATTGGTCCGGCGGTGTTGGGAAAAAACTATTGTTGCGGTGGGAGCGGTGGCTCTACAGCGCGCGCGGCCGCCTCGCCTGTGACCGTGCACTATGGCTCCTCGGTGGAGCGCTACTCCTCCATAGACAATGACGACTCCGTGGAGGTGGGAACCGTCTGTCACGCAGATATGGAGTCCTCTGACGATGGCACACAGAGCAGTCTGGGCGCTGGCGGAGGCCCCGAGCTCACCTTGCACAGTCCCATCAGCTCCTCCGTACTAGAGCACTACACCAGCGGTCTTGCTCTTCAGGCCACCACCGAATCCGCCACGACTTTCCGCGGACGCCTCGTGGGTGACCTTGCCTCATGGCTGAGCTTCGCGCCCACCCTTCTTCGACGCGCTGTTGCCCCTCCCCCCATCATCCGGCCCAGATCACGCTCCCGTTTCTCTAGCCACTCTCCTCAGCCTTCACACAACGCTTTCCGATGCTCCGCTCTCCTTGTCAACGTTGACGCCTCCACCGTCGAGGTGAGTACTTGCCTTTCTCTCTCATAATTTGACACTTGTTTCACATTTGTAGCTATTGACTGTAAAGAGCGGTGCTGTGGGAACCACCGGTAGCCGAAAGAGAAGTCGAAGTTCGAAGAAGCCAACTGATTCTCTTTCAGCAGCATCAACGTCACCTCTAAGCTTTTTCTTGCCCCCAAATGCATCTGTTACTGGGTCGTTCGAGGTCGCTGGTCGAAAGACCTCAGTAACATCGAATTCAGACTCCTCCACCGACGAAGAACACGCAGATGCACCAGCAAGCCAGTCACGCATCCTGGTGCATTCACCTTTAATTTTGCGCCTTTTGGAGACAGTCAAGTTGATCTACGATAGGTCCGGTGGGTGTTCTAGCATAGCCCTCCAACACTTAGAAACGGGGTTGCAAAATCTCTGCATCCTGGGTTGTACCCTGGCCGATCTACTGGTGCCCTCTATTACTTCGCCAGATGGGGGTCCCGATGCTCCGCTCATCTTCAAACAAAATCCGGAGACTATTGCGAATATTATTGGGTAAAATTGTTGCTTCTCATTGCTTATCCAGTGGGGTTATTCTGATGCCTACTGTATTTAAAGATTTGTATGCACTATTGGTCTCAATGAACAAATAGTTTATACCATCTGAAGTGGTGCGAATCATGTAAACTTTCTCAGTTCCCTGTGCGGTGGCATAGATTGCTTAAGGCGGTTGTTTGAAAATTTGGCGAATATAGTAAGTACGGTTTTCAGCGCGAGCGTTCTGTGTTTGCGGTCACTTAACCCGCATTTTGAGGTCAACCTGTAGTTAGCATGCTGCATGCTGATGCATTACACTGGCAGCAGGCGGTCACGTGTCCACTCTTTGTAGTGGAGACTCACGTGATGCCTTTTGGAGGAAATAAGTCCCGTGATTGTGTCCCAGTCAAATTGTACTGCGACCAATGAATTGTCGCTTTCGAATCCTACAAAACTAGGCATTTGTTCTCTCTTCTTTGCCTACCTTATTAGAACCTGCCCATTCTACGTCCATATACTGACTTATCCTGTTAGAATCTTCCCATGTTATGCGTCACCAAGTTATTACAAATAAAATTGGCTTATAAGTTAGCTGGGAAGCGAATCAAAGTAATCGGCCACAGTTTTTTTCCCGGCTCAGACTTATTTGCTTCTCTTTAGTATGGCGACAATCATTTGTGATTTGTTCTATTTAGACTGCAGATAACGCTCTCAAACACTATTTTTATTGTACTAGATGGCCATTTATGCTATTATTTTCTTCAGTTCTCCTCAGACGTACCCACTTTTCATCATCATGATATCCCACTGGTTGTGGTGAGCTTGTGGCTGGTTTATGCTAAACACGTATTGTATCTTTTTAGATGTCATCGTAGTGATCTTCCACTGCTGTTGTCTATTGCGGGCTCAGTATCATGTAAAGCAGCAGCGGTAATAGAGACGTACGAGCTGGACCAAATGTGGTGATAAGACTACCAGTTTCTTCCACAAATGCTTGTCCTTTCTTTCGTTGCCTTACACCCACGCACTATTCCATACGCACACACGCAGTGGTAAACCCCGTATAAAGCTGCTCTGTACATACAGGCTGTACAAATGCGACACTTTTTTATCCACTACTTTTGACTTCAATTTCATAGTCTAACGACGTGTAGTTTTTTGCGGTAGCATCTGCACACTTCAATGCGCACTACTTAGATCCATATTTACTCTGGCCCGCTCCAACCATGTACACTTCTCTACTCAGAAAGGTCACACATTCAGCACTCGCTTTTCACATTTGGCGAATACACCCAAGATTCAGACTCGCCTCAATCCAATTTGGTTTTTACAATAAATAGGTATTAAATATACCCATCCCTTTCATTATTTCTTGGGCGTATATAATTTGGGTAAGTAGTGTCAGCTACTTACTAGCTGTCGTAAGATTTCTCTAGAAGTAGCAACGGGAGTACCGTATGCTGGCTCGTCGTGAATGCTTTTGACAGTGACATATCGACGTAATGGACTAGTGGTGGATTTTAGTGATGTTAGGAAATTCATTTGGGTCCATATACTCCTTAGGTACGTATGTTGGAGGGTCGGTGTTTACTGTCGGGGGGTGGGGCACGTGGCATTGCTTGTAGGCCTTTTGCTTAAAAGTCTTCGCCCTGATAACATGGTAGAGACAGATCTAGCTGTGTTGATTGAAATCACTTAGAAATGAGCGCTAGAGATGAAGTGGCTCCCGCTTCTACTTGTTCAATGCCCAGCCTGTAGGACGGCCTATTCCTCCTTTACAAAAATATCCCTTTGAAGAAATTATTCGCTTTACGACTACATCCCTGAATTTCATTCACCCCATTGAGTACTACCAGAGATGATTGAATAATCATGAGACAAGTACGTATTCTGCGCGTGTTTCCCGTGTGTGCGATCATTTAACCTGCATCTTGAGGTCACACTGTAGTTATCAGACCATGACGATGGGAACGAGGGGTCACATGCACACCGCCGGGTCACGTGACGCCATCAGGGCGGAATAAGATTGATATGCGTGTAAGCCTACGCCTCTTCCGGCCCCAGCAAAAAAAAGCAAAGGATATCTCACAAACAAGGTTACTGGAGGCAAAGCGTTTCGCACTTGCCCTTGTGCTCACCGTCTGCTAGCATTATGATATTAAAAACGCCAACGTAACACGTATTAAAATGTTTATTTGGGTCGAGATAACGACTTCAAAAACTCGTTCTGACCCAAACGCACCGAGTTAAATTGCATAATAAGGCAATGCTTGTTGAGCATCCTGCAAAAATACATTGGGTTGATTATTTCTTCTTGAGAGGATAGCAGGCTTGGTGGGGTTGAGATGCTGCTTAGCCCATGATAAGTTTGAAAATGATCAGTAGAGTATTTACACCTATAAGAGGGACTAGAAAGATCAAAAGTAAGAATGAGCCTTGGTCTTACTCTGCATGACAGTTCGTACTGACGTGATGAACGTCAACAAGCGCGACTTGGTTGAGACATCACTCCCAAACTGGTACGCATCGGGTCCCCAACCATCTATAATTGAAAATTATATAGTCAACAAAGATCATTTACACTTGGCAAGGAATCGCTGCTCATTAAGGATACAGACTGCATTTAGCACAAGGACACTGGCTTCCAGCAGCGCATAGAGCCCGAACGCCATCTAAAGGGGATATTATCAAGTATTGAGTAGAAATAGGAGGAAACACTAGTGACACATGATCCCAACAAATCATTGGATTCAAGTAGGAAAAATCACAATCCCAGAAAAAAGGACATGGACAATACCCAAAGGAGTAGTAATTTCAACTTAAACCATTAAACAGCCACTATTAATTAGCCAATTACATAGGAGGATGGAAATAGTCAAGGCTATTACGGTCAACAATGTGCCATTGCGTATTGATGTGAATTAAACAATTTGTGAAAGAGCTGTATCGAAATAAGCGTGTGATTTTAAAGGCTGTGCTTTTTACGTTTTAATAAAGTTAGGCTTGAATTTTTTTCTTGATACAACAGTGACAACAAAAAACTAGTGATATCCTCAGAGAAGGGGTGTAAAAAATGGCAAAATTATTGTCAGAGGAATCGGATAAATGTCAGTGGTCTAATTTTAGTGCATAATAAATGTCGGGATCTACGCTACTAGATTTCATCTATCCGGGACAGTGATGCGGGATTTGGCACACGTGGTCAATCCCAGTAGCAACTACAGTGTCAAATTCTGCAAAAGAAAATCCAGCAACATTGCTTACTACTGATCCATTTTTGGCTAACTTTTCTTCACTACTATAGAAACCTGGGCATTTACGCAATAGTCCGCGCATTTTAAAGTGGAAAATTATGCTCCTTAAACAAAGCACATAATTGCTGATTAAAAAACACGAGAATCCCTTCACATCCCCGCTTTACATTCTACACAGTTAAAGAATCTCAGTTTAATCCAATCCCATCCCAAGTACGTTGTGCGCTATAGCTGCTACTGCCGTGTTTGTGAGTGAGTAGTTTGCCTTTGCTTGCTGTTGTTCCGCTGGTTGATGCATTTTACACAGGTAACTAAGCTTCATTTGTGTTTATTTTTCGGAAGGTCGTTTTTAATCATGGTTATATTCGCTAGTCATTTAATGTGGTTGAGCGTACCTGAGTAGGACTTGTTGGAGCGTGGTGGTGCTACTTTATTACGATTGCACATTTTTTCTGTTGCTGTTGACGCTAATGCACAGACAACTTGCAGTATGTGGTTTATGTGGCCTCAAGTAATTCGTTAAGCATTTTTCTTCAGCTCCAGACATCCTGCTGTCTGTGCTCGATATGTATGCTATGTTCGCAAAATCCACCAGAACAATTGCGTTGCCATAAGATTCCTGCATTGTGTTTTACCTTAGGTATAAAATTCGCTGTTACAATGTCGTTATTTTCTTTTTGCCGATATTCTTTCTAGAACACTTTTAAATATCGCTTCTCCAATTTTGGCGAAACTAAGAATCATGTCCATGTCCTGTCTTCTACCGTCACTTGAATTACTTCTAACTTTTCCTTTGTCTTTAGTCGACATGCTCATCAAGGTAAAGACTTTGGTTGGTAAGGAAATTGAAATTGATATCGACCAAACCGACAAAATCGAACGAATAAAAGAGCGAATCGAAGAAAAAGAAGGCATTCCACCGCCACAACAGCGCCTTATTTTCTCTGGGAAACAGATGAATGACGAGAAAACCGTAAATGACTACAAAATTCAAGGTGGATCTGTACTTCATTTGGTCCTTGCCCTAAGGGGCGGTCAGAAGCATTGATCTCCACTCATGTATATTTCGTTGAATTAATTTTGCGGTAAATATACGCAACCCTATCAAATATTGCTGAAATTTAGCATTTTTTGCTCCGCAGGTACCTTTTTTTCTGATGTTACTAAAAAATAATTCAGATCGATTTTTGTCTTAGTTTCTTTCACTGGTTACGTCTACCACAGTTTGGCCTCAGTCTCGTTTTTTGTGGTTTGGAGTTTGTCAGTGTTTTTCCTTCGGTATGATCGATGAAAAGTGCTAATGTATCGAGTAGGTGTACTGCAGAATGTAAGTTCTAGTCAAATAAGGTATTTTCGGTGTGGTTTCGTTACCTAGCTTTTTTTCACGCTAATTGCCTTATAAAACCAAGTTACCTTAGAACTTTTGTGTAGCCATTCTTGTTGAATGGAGGATTCCAACGGCCTTTTTTGCCTTACCTCTTGTTTATCCATAAGTAACAATCCCTTTCAAATGCTCATCCGCACTTGTTCAGGGGATGAGGTAATCCATTTTTGCATGTGGACTATCAGATCACCTACCGCCTCGGTTAGTTTTTGTCTTACCATACCTGCATGGGGGAGTTTGGTGAGTTACCATAGCCGGGCGCTTGCCTTTAGGTCTGTTATCAACTGTTTCTTGTGACACTTCCTCTTACTTCGTGGTTGGTAAGGTGTGTGTGTGTGTTTGACCATGCAAGGCGCGCGTTATACTTACCGAGCCAGGTGCGCGCCTCCGAGTTGTAGGCCTGGTCATCACGCATCCGAGAGACATGATGCCTTTTTTCTCATATTCAACCAAAAAATTACGGACCAGTGGGGTTTCCTCATACTCAAGGTCTTAATGCGTTGGAGGCTATAGAGGAGGTTTAATCCACACTTGTGTGAAGGAATTTCATATTTTCCACCGTATCGAGTTCTCCAAGATAGATATATTAAGCAGTATGATGCCCACATATTTCCTGTCTCAGATGGCGCAAACATAATTACCCCGAAATTTGCACGCAATTTTTGAATATTGTCGAATTATTTTCTTAGAATCCGTTGGTATCTTTGATCCTCCTCTTGGGGAAACGGAATTTCAATCGCCGTTTGCCTAGTCGCCTTTGAGGTAGATTGGCGATTCGCACTCTCCCTTCGAAGAATTGAAGTACCCATCATTGAGTCGGAAATTCTGATTAGTTTAGCTAATTGTAGGGGGTCCACTAGATTGAACTACCATTAGACTTGAGACGGTAGGGGTGTTGGTGTTTTTTCTTCGTATCGAGAAGTCCTATGGATTGCTGCCTTTAAGGATACCTTGCCTGTCTGCTGGTTGATAAACTCCATTAGCGTCATTTGGACTTCTTTTAGTTTACTAAAAAAATATTGCATTGCGGCCTTGGAACAGTGGGAACTTCATGGTCGCACAGTTCCCACTCGTAAATAAGGGTTTAAACAACTAAACAAAATATCAGATTTGTTTTGGAATTTGTTTGCCGTAGTTTGAACAATAGCTAGATTCGGTTTATCGACTTACAAGGCGTGGCTTCCGACGTTTAGTGCCGTCTACTCTAGAGATACATTTAATAATTAGCCATCGTAAATATGATCCAATATTGCCTCGGAGACCAGAAATGGGGAATCCAGCAGCTGCAATCTTGCAACCTGATTTAGGTTTTGGTGGGGTACCATGATAACCCGCGGATCGGCTGCCCTCATTATCACTCACTGATCCTGATAAAAGTAGGGCTTACCGACATTGGCAATGATGCGGCCTGGGTTACATTAAAATGCACAAAGACTGTCCCGCAAAAGTGCTTCGGCGTTGGGGGGCCTTTGCTATTTTGGCTTGAAGTATCACTGAGCTCTGCCACCCGCTCTCTGAAGAGGATGATGGGTCACTCTTAGTAAGATTAAAATAGTAATTAACTTTTGCTTGGAGATGGTGGTTCGTTTACGACGAATAGTGAAAAGTCTGTAGGAAATCATCAGCAAGACTGACCACTTAAGTGATTAATATCTGTACGTGGAATGAGCTCAAGTACACTAAGCTGGCTCTCTTAATGTTCTGTTCAAAAATTTGGCCAATGCCCAATTGTTGTGGCTTGCTTGTCTCGAGCGCCATAGTCACGAATTTAACCCTGGGCTTGGGATTCTTAGTCATTTCTAATTATTAGGTTTACATTAATTCCTTATGCCCTTCAATTGTCGCTGTCAGTACCTAACACGTCCCCCAATGTCTTCCGTGCCGCACGTCTCTGGTGCTCATTCAAATAGTCATAATGTGATTTGCTAAGTATTTTAGATGTTTCAGAGCTCCTCGATCAAAGTCACTACGATATGGTTCCATTTTAAACTTCAAAAAGAGAAGTAGAATATCCTTTGGGGGATGCGTTTTCATAAAGTGGTGGCTATTTTACTGGATTCCAAAAGACACCCTATGTCGTGACTAGGCGGGCTTTTGTTAGCCCAGAGAGCCCACATATCCTGTATTCACTGTTTTTTGATCATTAAAATGGACAAATCAGTATGCTATTCACAAAATGCCCCATAATATTGGTTTCCCCACCCACGCTCATCGCTTTATTTTCCCAAGAGCCAATGACCAGAGAAGTGTATCATATTTCGACTCTACCAATGGCATTTGATATTGATAAATAGAGCAGTATTTTGTCAATGACTAATTTTGCGGATTTACATTTGTCTTAACTTTTTTGGCTTCGATTCGAATCAGGTTAAGAGCACACTGTTAGGTCATGCTGTTATTGGCTCTATGGTATTGGTTTGGTTTGGTCTATTTTCGAAGTCTGTTGTAAGTTCTGTCTCGATTATTATATTATCTAAAAAATGTGCTTTATTACGTATTTAATGTTTGGCAATAGTAAGCCATTACGTGGTTGTTCGCCAAGTGTGTGGAGAGCTTGGACGACCTGTGCCAATCTCAACTTCTTGCGCTTTGGGTGGAGCAATCGTACCTAGAATTAAGAAGCAGTGTACATTTTCCAATGACACCACTAAGCTAAGAGCTGGGCGTTTGTTTCCATTCGTGATACACCATATCCAATTTGAAAGATGAGTATTTCTGCTTACTTATAATGCTCATCATTTCCAATCGGAAAGTTCTCTCAAAGGTATTAAGTAGGGATAAGTGACCACTTGCAGTGGTGACGATGGTAATTATGTGCAATGGTTGGCGAGGTTGTCTTTAATGGAAGGTTAAGCTTCTGCTCCTTAAAATCATCGAACTTTCCTGGAGAGTCTTAGGACGATTTTGCACATGAATTTGATAATATCGGTCTTTGATAGTGAGGTGCTTTAACTTCCGACTTTGCAACTTTGAGTACCCCTCTCATCTGTTCTGCCGCTTTGATATGCACCATTCGGCTATTTTCGGTCTAATTCATCGCCAATCATTTAACCCTAGACTTTCAGGCCTGATTAGCGTACTTGAGTCTGAATGAATGATCATGTTCATTTATTTTATTCATTTAGTGCCTCATTATCATTGAAATAATACTTGAATTGAGGAAATAAACCCATTCCAAACCACCATTATCATACATCTTCGCGACTGTAAGATTTCGCAGATTCGGTGAAACCTGAAGCACAGTATGGAACCAGTCAAATTCAAATTCATCAGTCATGTTCATTTATGTAACCGTTCCCGTGCTGTTCGTGTAGTAGGATGGAACAGTCTGAGAAGAAGTGGATTACTAGTCTTCTGTGATCATCAAGGTAGTAATCGATGCGCCGTCATGGGGGGAGGCAGAGCTTACAGCACCCCGCCGCGTGGTTCGAGAGGCAAACGAAGAACAATGCGAGTGTCGTCGTCGGTTAAAGACACGCTATGACAGTCCAGCACTCCTCCTCACCCCAAGCCGCCCCATCTCACACATCGCCATCTATTCCCCTAGCCCGTTCTCCATCTCACAGCCTCCGAATTGCTTTCTCACTCGCGCCAGCGGTTAACCAATCAGTGTAGCCAATGACAAAGATGTGGGGCCTCCCCCCACGCAAGAGCGGCAGCATTGGTCATTATCCTTTGACAACATTTTCGCACACCTAATTGCAGTTTGGCCCTCAAGGGTTGGGCGTCGTGGGGTGGCGTGGGATAAACGAGGGACTACGATGTGCGCCTGCTCTCATTTATCAATGTTTGTTGTGGTGCCCTTGTATGGTTAGAGTCGGCGGCACTTTTTCCTCGGTTAACACAGCCATCCCTCGTGTAAAGCACGTCTTCGTACAGTAATTTATTATTATTCCTGGTTAAAATCGTGTCCAGCCGCAGTTCGCACGTCGTATGTGGGGAGTATATGCCTGCGCATGAGCAGCCTCGCTTTTGCTCGACCAAGATTTGCTCTTCGTGTACGCATAAATCATTGAGTAAAATGGCCATAGGAAAGAAATTACCGGTAACGCTGGAAGCAATGGTGTTCCTCTTGTGATGGAACTCACTACCACCTTAATGAAACAGCATGTGTGAGACATCGCAAGTACACATTAACCCAAAAACTTGTTTCTACACCATCAATTTGTCTCAAGCTTCCGGGTGGATGTGATTTGGTAGCTGGATAACAGGCTGTGAATGCGGAGGATTTATGAAGATCTAAGCCATAAAACATAAGATGTCTCAACTCTTACAAATTTTGAGTGATTTCTTTACACTATTATTTGACGAGTCAAATATTGTGCCTCAATTTAAATCTCCAGACTGTTTCTAAAAGGTGTGCGTGGTCTGGAATCGCCACACTTTCAAGGATTTCACAGCTAAAGTCAGCAATGGACAGACGTGCCATTCGAACCAGAGAATGGCCAAATCAGGGTATAATTTCAGTGATTGGACAGAAGGGAGAAACGGAAATTTATGAGATGGGAAAAGGATGCGAACGCGAAGAAAGATCACATTTCAGGGAGCCATGAGGCAGCTCACTACGTAACTATCGCTCGCCTACTGTTACACCTATGGCAGTGGACCGCGAAGTTGCTAAATCAGGGTGCCATTATCGTCGCATTGTTGGACACCAATGCTGCAAATGCGGCAAAGGAAACTTTTCTCCCTACTGATTTCCAGATTCACTTCAAGGCTTATTCTTAGCTTCCCTTAAATTAAGGCCTCCAGGTTTTTAAGATTTCTTTATTGATCAGAAAAAACGAAATTGAGTTTGAGTTGTATCCGTTTGTAAACGCTTAGTTCACAAGAAAATGCATTCAGTTTCACAAAGCCTCTTCATCAAATTTTATCTTGTTAAATAAGCAGATGACTTTCGGTATTTTCCAGGAATAGCCAAAGTCGCCCATATTGAACTGACAATAAGGAGCACACCGTCGATGGTACGATGCTCCGTCGCGTTAATTGCTAGGACCGTGTGCCCGCTTAGGCAGAATTTTAAAGCTGTTTTGAAAAATAGTAAGAACTTTTATTTTCATTGCTTGCATTTGCTGAATCTGTCTGGGTAGCTCAATTTCAGCGAATATTTCACCGCATATTTTTTTGCTCGGATTCCTTCTTACTGAATAGTTTGCCTGCACACTTCATGCAGGCCACTCACCGACAGGGAGCACAAATATTTCTGCGCTTTGTCTGCCACAGTAAATCAACAGTCGATAAATGGAAACAATAAAGTCGTCATTTATGGCACTCAGTATGCTAATGTTACATTTTTTCAAATCCGTGATATGCGAGAGAACATCCCTGTAACTTATTGCCACCGTAGTGATGGTAGTAAAAATCCTAGTTCTAGTTCCAGAAAACACTCTATTAGTGGCGTGTGAATCATTGAATACGCTAAGGTCGCAAATAGTCAAAAAATGCGGTCACAGTGTTGGGCTCAGCTGTCGCCTAAACTTCCAAAACTAGCCACCCCTTTGTCTTCAAAACTTGTCCACGGTCAGAGGTGCGTAACCGCACATTCTAGTGAAGAAGTGTAAAATTTAGTTCGCTGAAATGGAAAAAATTTAACAAATCTACTGTCTAGGCGCAGTGGGAATGCAATGAATGTGGGGATACAAGAGGAAGTGTAGGTCATATTTACCAAACGTCTGCATCTTTGCTTCCTCGCGACATTTTTCATCAGCACAACCATAACGGCAATCGCACAGTCACACCCGGATTCATATTTATAGGGAAATAAATGTTCCCAAAACAGGGGCGGTTTGTGTCAATTACCCCAGTAAACTAATCTTCCAACGGATTTTTTAAAGAAGCCTACATGCTTCAAATCCACCATAGACCCGGATCCAAAAAGTTTTTCCTTTTTACGTATATGCAGATTTTGACGAAAATGTGTTCAGGAGAGGTATGTGAGAGGGAGTGTATTCGTGGGGTAAATTTTCTCGCAGTAGAGAATTATTGGTTATTCAACATTGGTGGTCATATTAAAAACAAGCTGCGATACCTTCAAGCTACCTTTTGTACTAACGTTTAATTTTTTTAGGTTACTAGGGCTTGAGTCAAATCCCGGAGACGTCCCTTTTGTGATACCCTGAAGTGCATGCGCAAGTCTTCTGCTTTCTCCCCCTCCAACCGCCCCCTAGGCAAGTTAGAAAGTAGTGAGGCGACTGCGCCTCTATCCTCATTAATTAAATCTCGTCAATAAAGGTGTGTTGACATTGCCAGGCTGACGCATACGTTGGAATGTAAACAGGTGATCCACCTCACCTTGACATGAAAATGCTGACAAAAGTACACTGACGGGAGGTTAACGCTTAGGCAGCTAAGCACAGCCTTTTGGTGGAATGCTTACAGCTAATAACTGAGACGGTGGCTCAACGTCATGAGGCGTAATTTCCAAGCCTGCTTCAATAGAACGCTCATTTACTTTGATGAAATTATGCTACAACTAAAATTATTCATATGGTGTGAAAGTAAATAATATGCTTGCTTATTCCAAAATTTAGACAGCATCGGAAGTAACTTTGCCATCCATATTAGTAGCATTGCCCAACTCACATTGCAGCATTGCAACAACAGGTAAGCTTGCTACTTTTCAGCGAGTGACCGCCGTGACCTCAACATTGGGAATGAGTCAGGCTTAAATCCCCAGCGAATTCGGAAAAACCATGTTGGTGTGGTGACAGTGTTTTCACCCCCATCTAATCCACATGATCGTGTCACCTACTACAACCTAGCCATAAACCCTCACACACGATTTTTCATTGAATTTTAACCAACATGCTGCCTTTCATGACGTGTTTCTCTTTGCGACAGACGAGAAAGGCCGGCAGGTATTACGAACAGGTTCACAAGTCACGTCAAAAGTCAGGTTCGCTTATTTTTCTAAGGTCCAATTTTGTGTCTCTTTCTGGACTACTCGCATCTTTTTGAAATTAGATTGGCTGCCCCTGAGACAATACGCACAGATGGATCTTCAAGTTGACGGATGGTGGAGCATGACTAATGTGGGTCAGTCTAACCAATTTACAATAGCAATCGTCACTTTCTGCTGAGGCAACGTGCGAGGCCAGTAGGTAGTCATTTTTCTTAACTCGATTAGGACTGGAAATACATAAAATAACTACTGAGGGATGAACACACGAAATGCCCTTCGAATATCAATATTTTGACGCTGTAGTGGGGTTTGAGCAGTAAATAGTGCATTATAGTCATTAACAAAGGAAATTTTATAAAGTGCAAACAAAAAATCAAGGAAATGAGACATCTCTCCCCTTCCATAAGGGCATGCCATGAGCACGCAAACGTAAATAAATGCTCAAACAATCCAATTCAAATGTACAACTTGACAGCTAGCCTATCAACCCGGGCCAAGGTGCATCTATGGCCACCCAACTTACTTGCACAAACAAATTACGGATCTGGTGGGGCGTGTGAGGAGTGTACGCCAAGGCCTCTTATTTTATCCGACAATTTTCAACTCCCACCGTGAGCAGACCGAAATGACAAGACCTGAGTTGTGGCACTGATTGTTCTTGTGAGAACAATGTTCTATCCATGCACAGCTCAAGTGAATCACTCTTCATCTTATTTGACAGATCCCGTGGTCATCCCGATCTTGCTATCATCGCTTTAGTATTCACGATACCGGCGGGCTTAAGCCTCCACCCTACCTTGGATCCTAGCATCTACCTCTACAGTCTAGCCATGTTCTTCAATGCTTCCATCACTCAAAAAAGCACGATGCTCGGAGCTGACTGGAGTGAGCGGTAAATGTAACGGATATTAAAACTGGACTGGTACCACTTCCAAGACCCCATTCCTAGGTCACTATCCCGGTAGCCAATCGCCTCATTTTTCATTGCCATAAACTAACCGACTTAAATGTCTTTTCATGATTTTTGCAATGATCACCAAGTTCGAATGGTGCGTTTCCCCCACTTTTGATTCGTGGCCGCGAATAGTAACTACCAAGGCGTTCACAATTTGCAGAATAGGAACGCATAAAAACAACTTTTATATTTACAGATATATTTTAACGAAAGTCATCGTGAGATTCGTCGATTTGAGCTACAGTGACTGGATTCGCCAGATGATTGAAGAGCGGAGTTATCATAGAGGGAACAGAAGAAAGGATTGATAGTAGAGGAGTACCCATGGCCATTGTGCATTCCCAGAGGCGAACTTGACGCTTTCAGAGAACGCGAATGGCGGTGTTGATGGCGACAGCGTTGGAGAGGGTTAGTATCAGAACACAACTCGGAGGTGCGTCCGGGAGTGCGGTACGTCCACGGGGGGAAGTCGCTAACCTCCTCGTTGGAGGATGGTGGGTATAAGGAAAGGTCGGACCAGGAGCCATTACTCGGACCCATCCCACAGGAGTCCATCTTTGTTGAGTTACCTTGGTATTGCTGGGAACACACAGTGGGGCACCGAAGCAAGGTTGGTGTCACCGATGGTACTATTTGAGAGGGCAGGGGACTGTACAAACTGGTGCGATCAAAACCGCTACCACCACCTCCAATGCCCACTGCAAATGGGTCACAAGAGGGTGCATTTGACGCGGCTACATTTCTCTCCGTCATACGTGATGGCAGATAGGCTCCAAAGCATGGATCTATTAAGAAAACACTCTAAATTGTAAAATTTAAGGTACAGCCTATGCACAGAATACGGAAGCTATTATATTTCAGTCATTCACAATGTACAAACGGAAGAATAGGCAGCGCAATACCCTACCAACGTGAGGGGGAAAGCACATCTCTGCTGAATGGATGGTAGTTTCAGCGCGCTCGGAGAGTTGGCGAGAGGCGGTGGTGGAAGAATTTGTGAGTTTCGAGCGATTGGGTTTGCTACGAATGGCCTTGGCATTGGGACGCAAATGACCATGAGCGCCTTTAGCCTGGAAGAACACAAGATCACCGACTTCGCGCCAAAAATGAGTCACGGGATAACCTCCATTGCCACGGCACGGATGGAGATAGATTCGACCTGGACAACCTTTCCGTACGCATTGTCTGCCTGGGATAGAAGCTTCAAACGCTAGTAGTCCACGGCACAAATCACTATCTAATAACTACTTCGAACGATTGCCTCCAAAACTGAATCGATGGGCTTCCCACACACGATTTTATTAATTCGTGGGACTTATTTACCCTCACTTTTTCATCCAACATTGCCTATTATTAACTTTCCCAACATAAAGCTAGGAAATATGCCTTAAAACTGATCAAGAGGACGTATGACTCATGGGTCTTAAATGGGCTACCGTAAGTTGAATAAAGTCACGTTTTCAGGCGTGACATCTGTTGCGAGGTTGTGACGTTCTGCCAATGATCGGGGGAACCTGAACTAACGTCGCACCTGTCTGCGCGGTCATGTCACGCCTCGGTGTGTCCTGCTCGTTAACTCACGCCGACCTACAGTGATGGTTGCAGAGCAGCGATCGATAAACGACTAGAGCTGGATGACGCCCGCCTTACTTCATGATTCTGCAAACCCAGCGAAAATCCAAATTCAAGAAACCTCTGCTCACGTTTGAACCTGCTACAAACAAGACATCCAGTGGAAGAGACTGAGACAGTCAAAAGTCCAGTTCCGTCCAGCCTCCCCATCTGACATGAGAGCACACAGGTACAGACGTAGTATCGCTCCAACTTCTTGGGATTTCTAAAATGCCTTTTTGCTCCTAGTAATCAATACTACGAAAAAAGCTTCCTAAGTGCATAACCACACCAACTAGTGGAAACGAGAAACGAAATATACGGGAGGTTCACAGCATTAGCGGTTGGTATGGTTACTTTGACTTCAGATCGTAAATGCCAAGTTAACGATATCTTGATTCGTAACTGAATTAAATATTCACCTGCATAAATCATAAGGAATTTCAAACTATGCAAAGCAAATTGTAAATAAACCGATTAAATGATAGCTACCTTCTTGACCTTTCCTGGCTTTGTCACAAATAGCCGGACGGAGGGTAACGCCGCAATTGGGCGAATCGCACAATAAGACACCGAGGCAGCTCTTTTTCAGGATGTGTTTATTGTGATTATTCGTATTCCGCATTGCCCAACCACTTGAATGCCGTTTGACTAAATCAGAGCCCGTCTTCAGGTAAACAAATTGGCAGTAACCATCTGGCCATGAGTCAAAATCATCGATTTGTGGCGTCTGGAAAACACAAATTCCGTAGTTCAATCGACTGTAGAAACCAAACCACAGTGGGGCATAGAAACAAACCTTCGGAAGCTGCCTGTCATTGATATCCCAACTAGCACGCCCAGAAGTTGAGGTTGGAAGTTCTTGAAGGCTCCAATGGGCTGCAACTACCTGATTTTCCTCGTAGACTTGCAATGAACGTCTTCTTTGTCGGAGACAGGCAGAACCACTAGGAGCTACTTGAGAGTGCTGATGCGGTTGTGGATGTCTCGACTGTTGTTGATCACGTTGAACAAAATCGGAACAAAAAATAGAACTGGGGCATTGCTGATGGACGTAGTCACCCTCATAAGTGGGGTGCGGGGTGATGTGCGCCGGTAACTGAGACTCCACAAAGCCATTGTCGAAATACATTGCATGTGGCGCGCCCAACGGTCCAGCTGACAGATCGTGCTCCTCACGTTTACGAATACAGTTTATGGATATACATACTCATTGACCTTCGTGTGATTGGCTCATCTTAGCCAATCATTTTTTTGTGCGAAGATCATCATTGCGGACCAATGATATTCAGGTATTTGGATAAAGTGTTTGTAATTGATAATGCGTTGGGGTTTAGGTTGATGAGTTCCACTAATACTCATTCTACCAAGCATGAGTGTGGCTGTGTTCATCTCATGGAATGCACTCGACTGATGGAGTAATTTTTAGGTTATTTTTGGAACATTACCAGTCAACTAATCCTTGAAATCTCCTTAATATTAATAAACTTGGAGTGCTTTCATCACTTTTAAAATAAACTAAAATGCATAAAAATTAATCGAGATCGTAGAATATTGCCATTTAAATTTGTACTGGTCACCATAGATTGACCTTATGATGGGAAATGGTTAATGGCATGAAATGAGGCTCGTCGTTACCTATTTCCCTATAGATCCACAGATCGTTTCAAACACTTCCAAAGCCGCCACTTCTATTTACGATCCCCATAATTTCGGGGGTAGATAATCAAAACGATTTAAACAAAATGTTTGATGCTTGGTGTAGTCATTCATGAAACGTAGGTATTTCCTACTGGTAAAGAATATCATTTTGAAACAGGAAATCGCAAAACTTTGGACACCCTACCCAGCTCTAATATTTATACATTGAAGTTGGTTATTTTACGCGGTAAAGCTAATCAATTTCCTGGCAAATATTCTACTTTTAGCTTCCGCAGAAGCAGTCTTACTGTTTCCTGAGTTCAAACTACTGCAATTTCGAAAAAGGTTTCTTCAAAATACTAACAACAAAGTGTAAGAGACACTGATATACTGGGCATGGTAAGTTAAAGCAAGACATATTTCAGGTTTTGGGGTTTAACATTAGAAGAGTTTCTGAATATTTCAGACATCTTTGTTAAAAGATTAGCTATTACCTAAGGCAAATCTGCCATCAAGCTTGTCCGTGATGAACAAAGAAACATCAAAATTACCATAATACTTCTTCTTCCGAGTAAGATTGATGAGCTGCTTACCTTTGTTCCTAAGAGGCTATAAATTTGCGTTACAGTTATCGAATTTTCTCCAAAATAGCGAATACGATGGGCTAATGTACTTCTGGCACATTAAACAAATGGAAATTAAGAAAAAAATTTGCTTTGCGTTGATTTCTGGCTCTCATAGAATTAAATTAATTATCATTAGCCCATGTCTCAAAAAATTATTAATTTATAGAAGAGGATTGGTCGCTAAGACGAAGCATGCGCACGCTTCCTGAGCTTCCAATTGGGTGAATGCGGGGAGCCTTTTGATTGCCCGTGCGTGTGCTCCGGTGCACGATCCTCTCACCCTCTCCTCTGCCTGCCATTGCGTCTCTTGGGGGCTAATTGAGTGGAGTCAAACTCCCAACACTGCCCCCTCAGGATGTGCATGTGCTGCAGCGGGCGACACGTGTCCGACTAACTGAAGCGATTCGCAAAATAATGGTGATTGGGGGGAAAATGGGGAGGAAGCAAGGGTGTTGCTAGGCCAGCAATGAAAAATAATCTCACACTCACAAGTGTATGGATCTTAGCTGAACAAATAAATACATCTCAGACGGGTCTTCTCGAAGTGGCTTGGCTAAGGGACCATGCAGGCTCTAACTCGAGCGTGGTAAAACTAGAATGTGGCCAAGGAGTTATCTCAGTCATGGGGACGACATGTATGTGCATGTACATGCTGCACTTAAATAATCGTATTAATTTGGTGAATCCCATTTCAGCCAGATGATAAGATTGACCTAAATTAAACAAATGTCTGCAGTTGACTTATTTCAAAGTTTCAAGCAGTTATCTACGTGCCCGAGTTTCAATAGATAAATAAGTGTTACGATTGCCAGTGGTCTTCGTCTGTGCCGTACAGCCAGGCCCCAATTTCTATGGTCACAGCCCATCGTGCTAGGCATCCACTCACACCAGAGTAAGAAGCTGAGCATAAGCCTTCTGAAGAAACGAGAATGTAATCTTGCAACATGATGCTGTTCGAAGAAATTTTGTAGAACCACCATAACCAACTGTCTTCTGATAGCTGATAGGTTTAAAATCACCAGAATTTGTTTATTCAGGCTAGATATATTCTTTTAATTGTTCGACAATTTTGACACTAATTTTAGAATGAAAGAATTCCTTTAAAGCACAACGCTCCGCTAACTTTAGTAATATTTGTGACTACCATCTTTAAGCATCATTCAGCCTTGTTCTTGCTCTATCTGCATTACTAGACTTGGGTTATTACGTAAAAATGTAATGAATTGAATGCCACGTGCAAACCACTTCAAATTCGATTGGCAGAAATGCACAGTCGAATTTGTAATTTAACCGAAGCATCTTTGTAGCAATCAGTATAATGCAAATGTTTATGAGGGCCAGGAAAGTTATCATCATTATTAGCCAGATAAGGGTGGTGATAGCTGTTCAGTAAATAAAATCGCACTGTGGTGTTGTGATACCAGGACTTCAAGACACCGTTAAAGTTGTTTTAATTTTAAAAGTTGGAAGGAGAGGATCTGTGTGTGAAAGTGCTCTAAAACACTGCTTTATACATTATTTATCGTGAAAGTATCATGCTATTGGAGGTATATTGAGATTTCCCACGAATTTAATGCAAAACGTACCAATCTGGTAAATGTGGACAGTACCTTTCAGAGTACTTTTAGGAAGGTTGAGTCGAAAATTTGCTGTACTCAAGTCAACATAAGGAAAGGGTTCCTACTACTACCATCATCAATTCTGAGCGCTGAATCTTAAAGACGAAAATGGAGTGGACTAACTAGCTTCTAGATTGCCAGAGGAATGTAAATTATATGCCTAAATCAATGTCAGAGTAGGAACTCGTACCTGAATTTTTTCCTTAGTGTCATCCATTGAAGGGTCACCTTGTTGAAGAACTTCCTGCTGTGAAATTTTAAAAAGTCAGGTAAATGTATCTGCGATTGCAAGGATGCACAAAAGCTCCACTTTTGAGCACACCCAAGTAGGGAGAGCGAAAAGAAGATGGGATGGAAACTTTATCACGAACAGACCTTGTTGCTGGGACAACCAGCTCGTCTTTGTTGTCAGTGCTAAAAATCTAGACCATGGGAACACCAGATGATGTAGCTACCTGTAAGTCCTTGCACGAGGATGACCAAACTTTGAAAAAGCTCTCCATTATAGCTGTATGAAACAATCATAAAATGTCAGCTGAGTTGCCTCCTCATTAAATGAAGTGCAGATCGAAGTCTGTGAGATCTCCTCAAAGCCATGAAAGGATCAAAGCGGAAAATCTCTCGATAGCTTGTACTTCACTTCTAACCATTAGTAAGCCCAATTAGTAGGCGTCAAACTGATCTAAGCCCCTACTGGTGATATTCAAACGATTCGACGCCACCAAATATCATCTTCACATCAGTCATTAAGGCCCTTATGAGCAATAGCGAAGTTAAGGTCTACGATTCCCATGTTTCCTGAAAATTAGTGGACAGAATATTGAGAAGAAAATGAATAATGGTAAGGTGTATGCATAATATTTCCAACCATGTATTTGTTTAGGGTCAACAGGATTACGACTTTCTTGATAAGGGAGCCCGAGCCATAAATAAAGCCTCCCAAGGAACATTTATGATATGCTATTGTAATGTGAAAGTTAAAAACATGTTCTAAGCAGGCGTGGATAATATGAACGAGAGGGATGTAGCGGAACTTAACACCACGAAGACTTCAGGTTCCCACGCCCCTAGGATACCCATTCTAGCCTGAGCGACATAATTCAAAAAGCGAGGATGCAAATTAATTTGAGAATCCGAGTTGGCGGAGGAGGAGAAGGATGTCGCTTGGCAGAGACCAGTTTGCCCCGTTGACTGATTGCACACCGCATACTGCTTTTTATCGATGTACCTGTTCCTCAATCCGACTCCGTAGGAAAATTGGTAGCTTGAAGGAAGGGGAGGGGGAACTGCACACCTTCTTTCTGCAGTTCCCGCCACTATCCTCCACCATGAGACTAGGGCCAGAGTTGCATTATCCGCAACTTGATAGGGAATCTTAACGACCTTGAGGGTAGAGCACTTTTTATGATTCAGAGGACCACTATTACCGTTGCGGTATAAAAAGTGCCGATCGATGAGGGATCGGTAAATGCTGGCAGTTTGTTAATTTTCAAAGCGGTAAAAATTGTGATGAAAAGTGCACGACGATAACAGCCACTCGAAATGCGTCCAAAAAAATCTTTCAAACCTTTGCTACTTTGACAACATTCAAATATTGACCTATTCAAATTATTTAAATGTCGTGAAATTCAAACACCCTCTCCTTTGTAGCTGAGTTACAAGGTGGTGCTATTCGTCCACTTTGAAAATATATTGCAGTCATTCTCAACTTTGATGCAGATAGTAGGAAAGTTGAATTTAAAAGCAGCATCAGAGTGGACAATTCAGAACGATACAGAACCGTGTATTTGAATTCATGGCCTAGTAATTGGAAGGGCCTTGTGTCTACTTTTACAATACGTCTACGTTGTATGAATAGCATGAATTAAACGATTCCCACAATTTACAAGGCTCAGACTAGCAAATTAAAGATCAGCAAAGAGGAGAAACTTAGGGGGGCAATAAATTAAGCAAAATTGGTACTAGTAAGTTGTTAGATGACAGTGTACCTCTTGCAAGCCGCAACCACTCATACTGGTAGACGACTACAGTGGCTCAGATTTTTTACCAAAATTGAGGAGTTCACAGTTTACATCTCTGATGGAGAATCTGTAAGATGGATAATAGGGGGAAGTCGGGTGCATAGAGGGGAGGGGGTAAATGGAAGAGGGCTTGCACGTGCCGTTTGTCGCTAGGGTGACAACAAGAAAGGGTGGGGGGGGGGGGGCGAAAGCACAAAGTGACGTAGGGTAGACGGGAGGAGACCGAAGAGACGGGGGTGTTGGCGACATTGACCAAGCATGTGCCTGATGGAGAGGCCGCTCTCCTATTCAGGAGTGAGCCCACGCACCCCTTAAAAGTCCGGTGTCTAAGACGTCAAGCGGTCTCCACCAACCAGAATGTCATTCATTGCTCAATTTGGTCAAATAACTGAGATTTTCGAAAAAGGTCTCAATCAATAGAAAGGATTTACACCAAATCTCGAGGATAAATTTAATATTCCAGACTTATGCTAATGGAGAGCTGTGAGAACAAAATTTTAATTAATTGAATCAAGTACTCTAACTGACTTGAGGCACGGTCTATGATAAACTCCTTTTTATTTGTGTGTGAAAAAGGACTGCTTTCGCATCACAGGCTTTTGTGGGTTGTGGTACAATTTTGACACCCAAATGACCTCTGGGTAAACTCATAAATGCTGTAGTTGAAAGGGGAAAACACCGCCAAACGATTGCACAATGCACAACGAGTTCTCCAAAATGTGGTAACGGAGAGGTGACCAATGCATCAAAGCGAACTATCTGTGGCACAATAATATTGGCTTTAATTTTGTACTGAAACAGTGAAATCTATCAAACACTGAGCTAGCGTTGGTGGAAAGTTCTCTCGAGATTATGGGTAATTATAGCCGGATGTTCCCTTCTCATTTGTAGTTATTTCTAATTAACAAGAAGCAATCACAGTGCCTGAGACAGGTATCCAAATAAGACGGAGGCTATGCAGTGGAATAATAGTTTAGGATTTCTCAAAGTCTGACAATAGAGCTATACGCATTTTATTCATGCTTTGAATGCATCTGACATCAATCTGATACGCCTTTTAGGGTCGTTGGGATAACTGGACCCCCACGCTCCCTTCCTTTTTTGCACCGCAGTGTCAATCTTGTCCGTGTTCAATGAGACTATGGATCAACGGAGGCAGTAAATGATGACATTCTCTAAAAAGGAACGGAACAAGTTCACAAACAATCACTCCTCAAAAAAGAACTAACAAATATCTCCGAATTACAAGACATCCATTTTACCGAAAGAAATGACGAAACGAAGTAGTTTTTTGCTCTTTTTTAATGGCTGATCAAGCAAATAATGATCAAAATTATCAAATACTGTGACAATTTCATGTATTAGCGGTTCTAATTACCGCCGGTTAAAAATACTCTGATTCTTTTTGAAACTTTTTACTCTTATTCTCAGACAAATTCTGCGATTGTAAATTCACGATAAAAGGAGATTCACCTAACCTTCAGAAGACCTCAAGGAATAAACCGGAGAAGGGGAACGGAAATCCTCTATTTCTTAACAGCTGATTGGTAAAGGAATAACAAAAGATCCAATTTTCGAGTACTACTAAAAGGAAAATTTGGAAAAGATACGACCTCAAGAAGACGCATAGACGGCAAAGTAATCAGCTATAAATGAAGAGATTAACAAAGATTCAAATAAATGCAAAACACCCTGAGTTCGGTGATCAGTCCAACGAAGACCAAATAAATGCGTTTGAGGTAAACAAGGGGAGAAATGTGTATCACATGAGCGAGTTGGAGCGCACGCGGGAAGAGGCCTTCTGGTGTTCTACTTCATCGCTTGCAGTTTGTTGTGTCGGATGTAGCAGTTGACGAGATCGCAGACGTTATAGGCGGTCGTCTCTGAACCAACCAGTCTATTCACCGAGTTGGCCTTGCGCAACTGATAGTTTATCGTTTGATTATCCTGCCAGAATTCGGCTATACGATTTACACTGTAACACCATGCCTCAAGCTAAAACAGAAGCCGAAAATGATTATATGAAATTAACCCGAAAAGGAATAGGCACGTCTCCTTTATATCCCTAAACCTAACAAACCCAATGATGTTGCTTTAGCCACACTCGGCCTCCGAGAGTGTTGTGTAAGAGGAGGTCTTGCGATCAAAATGTTCTGCTCAAAGAACATTAAGGCGGCACAGCCAAGGTACGGGGTAGTGGTGCAGCCTGCTGGTCGCCACCTCTTGCAATGGCAATAGACCACTTACCAGTGGTAAGACTCGAACCTACACCCTTTCTGACCGCTACGCCATGATACTGATGACACATCACCTCACCGTCGACTACCACCTTACCCTTTCGGCCAGCAATTCTTGTACGGGCCGTCTGCTAAACGTTTCCCTCCGTAATACTGATGATGCACTAAATGCGCGTCACACCACTCCTTTCCACCTTTGTACATAGGAGGCACTTATCCTGCAAAGGACCTATTAGACCCTAGGTGGGTTAGAGCCACTAACCTTTTGATTAACACCCGAAGGCCATAAATGACTGCGCCATGGGGCGATCCGACATCGCCGCAGTCTATGTTTTCCTCCCTTGCACTCCTCCTACTCACTTGGCCTCCGCCGTCCACACAACAGCCACTTCATTACTGCCACTACTACTACAACCGCCTTGTTCCATAGGACTCAACAACCACGTGCACCATTTCCAGCCGAATAGAGCCTACGTACACTACAGTTCAAGGCACTCACCTCGTTCTTTTCATCAACAAGGGATATGGTGGAAGCGTTGACAACCAGAAGCCATTCAGCAGTCGAACCACAGACCTAGGGTGTGCAATAAGTTTCGCAAGAATATAACGCTTTTAGAAAAAATTGGGTTTTCCTAGTCCAGTTGTTTCCCGAAACACACATTTTGGCTAGAATTAGGTGCGAAGAATGAGTCCCTTAACAAAAAATAATGTGATATTTACGCTAAAGGAGTGTACCTACGCTAAATATTGGTAAGGAAAGGTGATAACTCGGTCTGCATAATCTAATTTAGAAAGGTAATTGTACAAGACGCATGTTTTACTTTCAAGTCCTACTATTAATTTAATGAGCAAAAGATAGGTTTATTCAATCTAAACTTCGAAAAGTTCCAAAACATAGAAATTTGTCACCAATAGCAGCGATCTGTAGGCAATCATGATACGCATATACTTCAGTTCAAAGGTAGACAACAGTAAGGGATGAGGAATCAAATGCTGACGAGATGTAATCAAAATGTACTTCAAAGTAAAAAACACGTAGACCGAAACAACTTTCTGAGATGGTGAAAAGGCGTGCGGAATGGCACCGGTGGCTCATCGTATTCACCCCCTCTATCATTCAACAAGGCACGAACCATCAATGCGATGGATTGCAAAAGAGAGGTATGTACAAGTGTGGTACAGAGTGACCACCCACCTGGACATGAAAAAAAGAGGAGCCAAAAGTCGGGACTTTCATAAGGCTGGTCAGGAAGCTGAGCGGTATGTCTTTTGGGCCGAGTCGATGACTAGCGCCGATCATCGAAGTAATTTTCTACAGGGAATAAGTCCATTCGTTGAAAAATTAAACCAGCTTAGGGACTAGGCAGATATTCACTCGTTTTCGATGAAAGACAAAAAAAAATATAAATGAAATAAGGGTCAAAAAGAGGACAAAAGTGGCGTTGCTAACCGTCTTACACGAAATTTCGATGTTTGCTTAATGGACAAAACTGGTTACGTGATGCTCGCTTTCCTGACTAAAATGTCAGCAATTTAGAAATTCCCATCGTATTTAGATATGAAAATGGAAAATGCGTAGGTAGGTTTAGTCAAGCTCAGTGGTTAAGAATGAATGTTCTGGATAATGTGTCAGGTGGTTATAAAATAAAACTTGAAATAAATTAACTTAGAGTAACAACTCAAGCCATTAAGGTTTGAGAGGTAATTTTTTGCATCACTGGCGGTAAGGATCGGGACTTATTATGCCCCTTTCACGTAAATACTTAAAGCAATACTGCAAAAAAAAACACCTTCACTCCATCGAACCACACGGAGCTGAACAACACCGGGGCGGTCAGCTGATGATTGTGAAATCCACATAGATGGCAATTGGGGAAGTGATAATTATTCAGATATTTCAAAAAGTACTCCCCAGATCCGCAAAATCTCATCCAGTGAGGAGATTAATAAAATGTATCCATGAAAACTTAATGCTACAAAATCATATTTACTGCTTTACTATCAAGTTCAAAGTTTTTCAAACCGGCAAGTGGTGTACCGAAATCCACTGAAGGTCGGTGACACAGGAGAGTACATTCTTTGGGAGGATTTGATCGAGGGAGGTTCTAAGAAACGGGAACGGATTCCATTATTAGCACTCAAATGGATTAATTTCAGCAAAATAACAAAGTTGAGTAGTTTACAAAGGATTCCCAAATTCACATCAACGAGAACAAACAAAAACTACCTAAAACAGCGAAAAGCAGTAAACCACTAAATGGATCATTCCAAGGAATGTCCACATATCGCACCTATATTCTCAAAAGAGGAAAGAACTCACTGGGATCCAGATGATCCTTCTGTTTGCCAAATGAATATAAGAGTGCCTAGTTCGAGAGTCTGCTCTAGGGAACACTTGTAGTAACCATGAAGAAAGTTCTTCATTGCCTATAGGGATGAAAAGTGAAGAAACAGATCTTTCGCCATGGGATAAAGGGAAGAAGACCACTCAGCTTAATAGAGACGTACCTGGGGAAAATTTATCAGTCTGTCCTCGATAACATACTTCCCAGGAACGACATTCAGCCAAAGTTTCCGCATGAAGTACAGTGGACTCGGAGGAGAAGCTATGCAATGAAACATTTATTACTACTAACTAGGGATATCAGTAGAGGATAGCTATGAGACATCCATCAAAATCACAAACTGCGAGAGCGACTGATGTCATGATTACATGAGGCAAAATAAAAAACGAATATCACCAACGATTTTCCAGTCACTTTTGATAATTGCTTTGTCAGTTTGCTTATTTTATGATTAGTGGTGGGATTTAGCTGAGTCACTCATTCGAGGCTTTATCGAAAAAAAGAGGTTTTCAATCGGCAAGAGATTTTAATGTATTTCAGCAGCTTTCAAGTCGATGAATTCAAAGCGAAAGGTGTTTGAGAGGCTACGCTAATAATGTTATGTATGGGAAACCAAATGCACTGAAATCCGCATAATTTAAGCCGATTTGAGGGACCTACAAGTAACGGTGCGTTTCTGGGAAAGCTGCGATTGGATCTCAGGCATAGTTAAGCGGAGGACGTCAAGAAGAAACTCGTCGGATTTGATGCAACGCATTTCATCCTCCACCTCCAGGTAGAGGGCGAATTGATCCTCAGAATTAAGGTTAAGTTCCCGCACCACGTTCTGGATCACGTCCATGGCTCTGGTCGTCGAGTCCAGCGTTGTCATCTACCATGAGGGAATTGTCCGTTAGTCATCAAAGGCTCCAAAACTCAGTTGACAAGAAATTAATAATGAGATAGTAAAAAATTCGCTTGCATAAAACAAAGATAATCGTGCGCGAGTAGTTGAATTTCAGTGAAATTAAAAATGTGTGTTTACTTTCCCAAAGTAAACAAATGCTTTCCAATGGGCTTAAATGCATCACAACGGGGTCGTCATCAATTGGTAGGAAATAACAAAACCCATTTATCAAGTGTCGAAAGCAGCCAGAACATTCTGGACAAAAATACCACATTTATTAAAGTGTGTTGCCGAATGGGCTTTCCTACTAACACTTGAGTATTAGCGCACCGAAGACATTTTCAAAGAATGTAGCTTTTGAAAGGTTCATTCTACTGACGACTCGAAGTGCTGTTTTGAATTAAGAGCCAAAAGTAAAGTAAAGCTGTCCTCATACACTAACATACCATGGAAGTATCATTTGGAAGAATGATCTTTTGATAAATTTTGTCCTTCTTTCCTCGTATAGCTGCAATTTCAAGGGCATGCGGGGGCTTCTTTCGTATTCCGCGACTAAAAGGGATGCGAGTCACCATGCACCATGACAAAACATAAATGCATACGCATTACCAGTTAAAAAGTATGGTACCTTAACGTTTGATGTAGTCTGGTGTAACACTGTGATGCCAACTGGTGTGGTGAACGGAGTAGGAAACGGACCAATTTGTCCATAACACGATCCGAGGGCACCATTATGCCTGTCGCCAACCACATCAACTCCAACCCTCTGCTTTCACTTGTTCTGTGTGGATGAGAGGCATGCGATGCCGTTAGTTGAGCATACATCAAAATTCCAAACTGTATTTTAACTAAGGTAGAAATTTCGAGCAAGAACACCGCCAAGTAAAACTTGTTTTAGCATATCCAATACATGAAATCAAAACCATTTGCCTAGCTGCCAAGTGAACAATAAATGTTCGGATGCAGAAGCATACCGTTTAGGATTGTCAGTGAGCTGATTCATAATCTGGATAAAGATCTCATCACGAAGTGGAGGATAGTCGAGAGCCGAGCCGAAGAGAAGGTCGGTGAGGAAAACTACAGGCATGTTTCTAAGCTGTACTGGTATCTTGTCACAGTCTCCCATGTAGGTCTGAATGAGACAGAACGAGAGCAGAGCCGCGTCGTATACCTTCCGATCAGCATTTGCAAATTCTCGTAAGAAGGGCCTTCGAAGGGGAAGTCGAGTGTACTTGAGCGTCGTCAGCTCTAGTGAGTCCGTCGAGTTAACAGATGAAATTCTTGAGATGCAAAAGAAGGATAATGTTGTTATTCAAGCCAATGAAAAATGAGACAAAATGGCCATGGGAATCTTCATTAAACCATTAACGCAACCAATTACTTCATTAATATACTGAAGGTGAGTAATTAGTGTTTCTACTAGCAAAAACCGCAATTTTAGATAAAGACGTCACCTTAGAGTCAAAAAAATTTTCATGACATTGACAACACCTCCATCACAGTTCTAACAAACATCCACATAACATGCTGTGATCCTGTCCATGCTAATTCAATTAAAGAGGAGTGGTGTGATGCATAATGAATAAGGTTGCATATGCAAGCATAAGCATACGAAGACCTTGTCGAGAGCTCCATATCGGAGTTTTGCGAGGCCGGTCGATGCGAATAATTTTCTAGAAAGTAATCAGCAGCCTTAGAGTATTTGTCATGTTTAAGGAATAGATCATTGTGACTGGAGGACCTCTTGTGCAGACGTGCAATAGGCAGGCGCGAGCGTTGGGAGTTGATACTCTCGACTTTGTTGAGCCACTCTCTGTTTTCGTTTGAAATGATCAAATGGGAAAAGGTATCAATGAACTCCGGTTTGGGAGGATTGACGGTGGGTAGGATGTAGACGTTGGTCATAGCCACATGGCCCGTCTCCCAGGTGCGTTGGTTTTCACCGTAGCAGAAGATCATCGAGTCACTCTCCTTCTGCAACTGAAAGTGCGCCGACTTGGAGGGTAGAGGAACGCCCACAACAGGAGTCTTCTGATCCAACTCCCAGCCTGATTGGTGCATTATTATGTAATCGCCCGCATTCACATGAATCAAAGAGCTGTCGCGACCTTAAAACATCACATGGGAAAAGTATACTTTGTATTACAATTCGTTGATTCTGAATCAGCATTTGTATGCATAAAGAACTCACAATCACTGAATGTAGATTTTTTCACTGCAATGGCGTATCGCGAGCGCTGACGAAGACCGGTAAGCATGTAGTTGAGGAGGTCCTTCAAATCGGCAGAGTGATCGGATAGGAACCGATGCTCCTGCATCCATACAGTCTTTATTGAAAGCGCCTTCATTGACTGTTGACTAATCCTATACAAACAAAACTCCGGCATATAGTTACCATTCATTGAAGACTGTTACTTCGACAATATAACCCATGTTTTAACATCTCAATGCGCAATTATCCAGAGATCTTGCCAAAATACAAAAGTATTCCAATTTGAGTAAATGAAACATATAGACTAGTTAAAATATAGAAGGAAAAACAGATATAGTAAGACTTTGCACTCTGGCTTACGAGTTAACCGTGACTGAATGCATCTCCACATAGGGAATGGAATTGATAAGATTGCGCTTTTCACCTAGCAGTTGAACTCCGTTGCAATCAATGCACAGGAGGACTCGTTGCACACGAGATCTGCCCTGCAGAAAGATGACACCAAACTCCCGAGTGAAGATGCTAGGCCACTGCAGCTTAGCAAACGTCACGATATTCTCGCACGTTGCGGTGGCGGACGCCTCCGGAGATCTCTCGTTTAGCTCACAAAGCGCCTTCAAGCAAAAAGGGGAAAATATGCAGTAAATTCGCGCTCCGCTACCGTAAAAGGAAAGGTAAACACCTAAATGACCAATAAATTGAGATGCTGATTACACCATATTCTAAAACCATTAAGACTAATTATGTGATCGGACCAAAATATGGGATAAAGACTTAAGCCGCCGAAGGAGCCCTTTTCTTTGGTGAGCACAAGCGCAGAGAGGTATGAATGGTAAAGTATCTGCTTTAAATGGCAAAGACACGGTGAGAATAAACTATTGCTCTTTGAAGGATGCGTTAGATTAGATTAGTCGTATAAGATGAAGAGGGGCTCACAGTACTTGTAACCTTCTGCCAAAAGGAGATGTCACAGTCGGGACTGAGGATCTGATTCAGCCAGGATTGGAGACCACACTTATCGGAGGTTCTCGGATCATTTGAGTCTGTAGCCAGAAGTCGGTATATGTTCGCTAATAGGTATGCCAACTCATGCTCCTAAATATAAAAAATACGAAAGAATTCTACAAAACAATTAATCAGGTTGGATGAAAGCAATTATTCTTTAGGTGGAATAAATTTGCACAAAAGCCAATTATCATCAAAGTCTTCTCTGCAAAGTATTATTACTAGGCCTTTGACATGCAGAGCAGTTCAGACAAATAAAGCTCTCTTAATTTGTAGGGAAAAGTCCCCAAAACTCATATGCACAATTCATAGGTCGGACCAAAATACGGTAAAGAACCATTGTTACAACAGGTCATAACGTACTGTGAAATTCGAGTATGCTAATTTACATTTTTAGGAGAGAACTCACCCCATCTCCTTTCATTGACAGTGAGTAATGAGTAAATTAATTTAAAGTAATATGGACATCATTGGTATCAACCAATTGGTCCCATTAAGTCAGCTCTACACTAAATGGTTCATACGTTGCTTACTTCGAGAGAATCATGTGATTCTTTGAAGCATTGTTGAATAACCTGAAAACAGATGAGCGATGTTGCAACGGAATCAAAGGTCACATCATGCCACGGCGCGAAGATGGTCTTGCGTATCACGAAGGACCAAGGCATATCAAATTCATTTAGACCCCTGCGTCGTGTATATTTCTCGCAGAGAGATATATTATCAAAGAAATGCCTTGGACCCATCGACAGAGCCTCAAACTTGAAAAATAAGCAAAAAAAAACCTGATTTAGAATGGGGTGAAAAAATAAAAATGAATGAAGGAGGTACCCACCTTGTCGAAGATGTCAATGAAGACCTCGAATCCGAAGGTATCTTTAATAGAAGCCGCGTTGAAAGCAATAGAACTAAACTCCTGCACAGTGATAGTTGGATCAACCTTTACTCTCACCCGATTACTATTGGCGCAGAGGACGTTCACTCCGAGACTCTTTCTCTCTTGCTCAGCTCGCAACTCCATGTAACTAGGTGGCATCGAGCGCGCTCCCGTCTGGTTGATGCGGTTTAGCCGTTTGAGGCACGTCTTGGCGTAATCCGAGGTGCTGGACTTCAAGTAAGTCCTCAGCGCGGTATCAAAGAGTGTTGGGGGAAAACAACTGGCGCACAGGATTAGTAAGATCCAGCCTAAGTAGGAAAAAATATATTCACGTAGGTATGAGCACGGTAAAATGTGGAACAAGGGAGGACCGAACTTTAAAACTAAACGGATACATACTGAGCTCGGTTTGCAAACCGCAGTCTGGCACTTAAAAAATATCGTCTAGTAGAAGTGAAAAGAGGTACCTCTGCTACGACTGTAGACACAAGGATTTTTCGTGATTTGTTTCAGGATTTGGCAGTAGATTTCGTCGCGCATTTGTGGATGATCGACCCCTGTGCCAACGATAAAGCGGACTTTGTGGAGTTCGGAGAGTACGGGCCGGCAGTCGTGACAAATACGAACCGTGGGAGTGTAGTTTGAACAGGCATTTCCCGACACGTCATCGCGGTAGTCGGCGAGAGGGATGTCGCATCTGGACCCGTTAATAGAGGAGATAACCACTCGTGGACACACTGAGATAGAATGCTGAGCCGCGCTGCTTGTGCTCGACTCCTCGGCGGGGCCAGATATACTGCCATTCACAGTCTACACAGAAACAACAGTCACAACCTGCCTGGTACTTTGACACCAACTGTCCCTTTAAGTGCTTTAGCGAAACACTTTGGATCCTCAAAAGTGCGAATTAGTTTCAATGTTGAGATATATGAGGCCTCAATAAAAGCCACTATGGACTCATTGAAAAGACAACATCCCATTCCTCATTTTAATCAACGAAACCTAAGCAATCTTTAAAGTTGAATTCAATTCCTACATTAGTTTACCATTCAAAGAATAAGTAAGCGGACGATAATTCAGGTAAAGTATCCTTTTGCGTAACTTACATTCAGATCGCAAACAGAGAGAGAAACAGAACAGGAAGTGTACAAAGATATTTAAAGGGAGAAATACATACCAAAATAGAGTCCTCCGATTTGCTGTTATAATTCATATTCTTGGACTTCATAAATGACATAATTTTGCCGAAAATTTCCAGAGCTAGCTATAACAAAGGGGAAAGAGTACCTTAGGTCACGACAATTTCATTGTACATCATACGTCGAAGTCAGTTCAAAGTTAATGTATGGAGTAGGTGAAGGAAATTTTAAGAAATAACCAATCTACTTGTGCGTTACTATTAACTCTTTTGCATCATAGGAAATGATGAAATCAACGACGATGATCATAAATCCCCATAAGAAACACCAGTGGTGAATTAAACCCCTTTCGAATTTCATTTAAACCGTATCACAGGATAACATTAAACATGGAGTGGGGGGACCATTGTGTACGATAAACTTCAGAGAGGGAAAGAGCGTGACATTATGACGTACGGCCATGTCGTGTTGGTTGCGGTGTTTCAGGAGAGGACGAGTGAGGGGCACGGGAGAGAAGGTGGGCAGAACGCCGGTCTGAAAGTAGGCAGCGGCAAATTTGAGGTAACTGCACTCGCCCCACGCGGCATGAGTATCATTAGGGACGGCATCAACGCCAACGGGTCTGCCGGTAACATCCGCTTCTTCGACAGCCTCCGTTAGAGTGGGTCCGGACGGGTTGGAAACATAGGAGTCCGCCGGATGATGGGAGAGGGGAAAGAAAGCAGGGCAGCGCATCTTGAAGTGCCTGCTGCTCAAATCCACCTTGCCACAACTGCCACCACCTTCTCCTCTTCCTCTACCCACCATCGACGCCATTGTCACTGAAGGCGACAGGGACGCAACCCTCCCTGCTTTTGGTTCTTCAAAGGCCTCGTGCACGGTGATTGAATCAGCCGATTCGAGATGACACCCCTCTTTCACTTGAACGCTATCGTCCAGACTGACAGCTATCTTCGAATGACCACAATTCATGAGATTCGCAGAATTTAACACCTCTTCAAAGAGAGAGTCAACCTGCCATGACACCAAACAGAACAATAACTTATGTGTGGGTTCGAGCTTGAGAAGTTACTAAAGTCTACAATATCGTGACAGGGTACTGTTTAATAAAGCAACGTTTGACAGTTGGGATAATCAGAGCATTAAATTCAACTATTCAGCCCTATAGGGACGCTAATTTAAAAAGTGCACTACAAAAGTAATGGTTAAAATTTGTAAAATTTGACGAATGAAAGGAACGTAAGACTGAGTGGATTTACTTCTACAAAAAGAAATGTAATATTGTAAGATCAAACGCTATTATTAACGAATTTACTCAAATCATAAAAATGAGTCCCGTGATAAAAGATAGGAGAATATTAACAACGTACGAAACTGAAGAGGTCGGCGCAGGTTTCCGAGTGTGGCAATTTGGTAGGTACGGGGTGGTCGGCGTTGGAGGACGTGGAAAGCTGGTGGGTACCGCACTCCTCCGAGGCCGCAGTAGTCAGACCAACCAACTCGACGGCGTTTTCAAGGACCAGGGCGTTCGTCCATTTGGCGTGCAGCGGGCTCTGTAGCACCACGTCCTCCGGCAGCTCCGCCTCGCAAAAGCACACCTTTGTCTCCTCATCCTGGGACGGCAACGGTATGACATGAAAAGATTGACAAATTAGTGCTTTGGATTTCAATGAACTGATTCCAGCATTCAAATCATCAGTACTCTACCTATGAGCCGCCAGTCAATCAGCCTAGCAATTGCACTTGTGAACAGGAATAATTTATCATTTTCATGTATTAAAATAAGCAAGTAACTGCGATCGTGGAAGTGAGCAGTACATAATCACATGAACTTTGCTGTGAAGACGCTGCCATTCAATCATCACCTAACGTACATGCGCACTTAGTGGGCTCTGTAGCGAACAGGAAATCGAGCATGACAATTATACTG